TGATTCTGCTCTCTGCCACTGGGTTTAGTCATCCTCTCCAGGATGACTCCTGCCTGGCTTCCTGCGGCCAGACCTCCTTTTCTAAACACCGCTCTTACCCAAGCATGCTGGGGTTGCTCCGTATCCACACGACCAGTCAGTCACCTGTACACCACTTTCCGCCTGAACACCCTGTCTCTTAGTCAAATTCAGCAGTTTTGAATTAATTATTGTTGTTATTATTACTGGGACTAAGGACTATGTATACTGAACAATGATGCTGCCAAATCACATTCATGATCTCTTCTTTATAGTCACCTGTATGATCAGTTTGTCTAGTCTCAGCTCTTTGGTTAGTCTTTGTGTCCTGATTGGCAGTGCTAAAGCCTAGGATTTGTCTCCCCAGGCTGATGCCCCAAACCCATCCCTCATTCCCGAGATGGACGCTGTGGGTGTGACTGTGGTTCTTATCACCTGTACCTACCATGGACAAGAGTTCATTCGTGTGGGCTACTATGTCAACAATGAATACCCAGACCCAGAGCTTCAGGAGAACCCGCCCCCAAAGCCAGACTTTTCTCAGGTAAGGCCTGTCTCTGCACTTCCTGCTTCAGACAGGCCAGTTCTTTACAGCTGTCTGAGCCAGAGCTAGGATAGAGCAAGTCTTTTTTTGAGGCATGCCTAACAGAATCAAAGCTAGAGCTACGGAAGTGGAGGGCACTGTGATCCCACCACCCTGGCCCTCATAAATTAGAGGCCAGCCTCATCTGCATGGGTTCCAGACCAACATAGGCTACATAGTAAGACCCTGTATCCAGGGGGGCGTGGGAGGGAGTGCTGGAGGCCACTAGAGAGAGAACTCAGTGGTTAAGAGCACTGGCTACTCTTAAGATTTGATTTGATTGGTTCTGATTCCTAGCATTCACATAGTAGCTCACAGCCATCTTTAATTCTAGTTCCAGGGTATCTATGCCCTCTTCTGACCTACATGGGGATTAGGCACAAATGGAACCAATACAGTAAAGATATTTAAAAAAAGAAAATCAAGTGAGCCAGAGAGAGGGCTCAGCAGTTAAGAACCTTGCTGTTCTTCAGAGCCCAGATTCAATCCCAGCATCCACATGGTGGCATATCATCTAGCCACCCACGTGGTGGTTCTTACTAAGAGGGCAATCTGTGCCCTCTTCTGGCCTCCAAAGGCATCAGGCACACACATGTTACACGGACATATATGTAGCCAAACGCCTATACACAAAAAACTTTTTAAAAAATCATGCTAGGGGGCTGGAGAGATGGCTCAGAGGGTAAGAGCACTGGTTGCTCTTCCAGAGGTCCCGAGTTCAATTCCCAGCAACCACATGGTGGCTCACAACCATCTGTAATGAGATCTGGTGCCTTCCTTGCCAGCAGTACATTGTATGCTTAATAAATAAATCTTTAAAAAAAAAAATCATGCTAGGCATGGTAATGCATACCTTTAACCCCAGCACTTGGAGGCAGGCAGATCTCTCTGTGAGTTCCAGACTAGCCCAGTCTACATAGTTGAGACTCTCTCAAAACAACCCAGAAACAAATGAACAAAGCCAAGCAAAACCAGGACAAGGAAGACCCTGTTCCTACTCCACAGTGTATAAGCATCCTTGGGGCTCAAAGTGGGGGTCTGAGGGATTCCTGGCCTTTTAGGGATAACACTTAGGTGATAGGGACTGACATTCTAATTCTTGCTCCAGCTTCAGCGAAACATATTGGCTTCTAATCCCCGGGTGACCCGATTCCATATCAACTGGGACAACAACCCAGACAGGCTGGAGGTCATAGAGAACCAGGACCCTAGTCTGGATTTCGGCCTTCCCTTCAGTTGCACTCCTTTCAAAAGTCTGGGCCTTCCTACCTGCATCCCAGGCCTCCTCCCAGAGAACTCCATGGACTGCATCTGATGGGAGCCAGGCTGGTCCCAGTAGGACCATGGCCAGTCTCCTTGCACACCTGGAGGGGATCTAAGGCCCTCATGCTTGGTCATCTCAAGGATTTGGGGGTCACCGACTGCTTCCAGACTCGTCATCCCCAGGAAAATATGGACCACAGTCTCTCACCTCAGGTCCAGAAGAATCATCTCACTCTGACCCACCAGCCTCTAAGAAGCAGGTACTTATATGCTCGTTCTTTGTGTTGTTTTTCCTTCTACACTGTCAGTTCCTGTGAGAAGCTCTCTATCACCTGTCTTGAGGCTTGTTGGGTGATGCCTGGCTAGCCTTTGGCCAGAGGCTGTCACTGCTGCCCACTCCAGTTCTTGGGGTCTCAGGCAAGGAATACTGGTTAGAAGGCAGACTCAATATCACCACTGTCCTTCCAGAGTGTCTTAGTCATTTAGTCTAACCACTACTAGAGAACTCTCAAAGGTGAGCTCCCCAGGCCAAGGAGGAATGGTGGGTACTTTGGTCACAGCTACCTTCTCATCTCGTGACTGAGCCTGACTTTCTGAGAGGATTGCCCTGGGTAGAATAGGTATGTTTGTTGGAGGTCCTGATGACATGTTCTCATGAGATACACAGTATTGTGGGAGGCATTTGGCAGACTGACCTGGAAAACTTCTACTCCCATCTGCCTCTACCTAAGCCCTGGGCCCCTTGCTGCTACACGGATGCTATTGTGATTGCAGTGTGTATATTAAAATGCTTTTATATTAAAAGTTTTGTTTGGTTTAAAAATAAAAGCACTTCATCTAGATTGTTTCTGCTTTTTATTTATTTATTTATGTTCCCTGCTCCTTGACATGCCTGAAGACCAGACTGGACTCGAACTCACAGAGATTCACCTGCCTTTGCCTCTGGAGTGCTGGGATTAAAAGTATGCAGCACCACACCTGAGGAAAATTGTTTGGTTTTTTTTTTTTTCTTTTTTTTTTTTGAGACAAGGTTTCTCTGCATAGCCCTTGCTGTCTGTCTTAGACTCATTCTGTAGACCAGGCTGGCCTCAAACTCAGCGATCCACCTGCCTCTGCCTCAAGTACTGGGATTAAAGGTGTGTCCTACCACTCCCAGCTTAAAACATTTTATTTCTGTGTTTGCCTGTATGTTGTCTGTGTTATCACTTGAGTGCCTGGTGTCTGCGGAGGCCAGGACGATTTTGGAGCCCCTGGAACTAGAGTTATAGAGGGTTGTGAATCCCCACGTGGGAGCTGGGAATTGAACCCAAGTCCTCTGGAAGAGCAGGCAGTGCTCTTAAGTCATCTCTAGCCTCTGTAAATTTGTTTTTAAATATATGTTGTTTCTTCTTTGGCCTCCTGTCTCTTTCACCATGTTGTGGTTAACCTCTTGTTCTGAAAGTGGCTGGCCCCTCTCCTCTTGCTTACTCCCGTTAGTCTCATCCTGTTATACAGTTTGCACCACAAGCCGAGGCTCAAATGTTTTTCTTTGCCCAAGCTGTTTAACTGGTGCCCAGTGATCTTTCTTTGACCTTGACCCACAGGCATAGAGCAACATTGTGACCCAAGGACACACAGCGCCACAATTTAGATAACTTCACTTAGCTATGGTGTAACTCCCCAAATCAGAAACGAAGCATTTGGCAGTTCAGCCAGCTCCTATAATCCAGAGAAGCTCTACTCTATGGCAGGTACTTTTCCCACTGGTAGACTGCAGCTGACCTAGCATCAAGAGTGCATACAGTTGCTGGCTTAGAAGTTGGATATGAACTGCCCAGGGAGAGTTAACTCTGTCCCCTCAGCACCTTCCACCCTGGCCACCCTCTACTGCAGAGGTTCTCTGGTAGGGATGTGGATAATTTTGTTTCCCAGAGCACACTTAGCATGTCTGGAGATGGTTTATGTGAAAATGAAAGTGTACCAGAATCCAGTGTATTGGGGTGGGGGTTCTGAACACTAACCTAGTGTGCAGGAGACCCCTCCAGCAGAGTGCTCAGGCCCCTGATGTCAGTGGCACAGTGGGACACTGACCATGTTCTGGCAGCGCAGACTTGAAAGAGCACCCTGGGCAAAGTAAAATCATTGCTTAGCAGCTGATAGGCATTGTGTTCAACCCCTGCATTGCATAAAACTAAAATTTAAAGACAGCATCCAGAAGGAAAGAGGATGGCTCCCTGCCTGCCCCCAGAGGGCAAGTTACGCTGGCAATGTCCAGGCAAATGGAGTTTAGTTAAGAGCAAGGAACCAGTCTGATCATTCCTCGTCCATAAAATGGGAGTATGACAGTACCAACGTGCTGAGAACGAGAAGTCATGTACTTGGCCAGTGTCGTTGTTACTACTTTTCAGAGCCCTAGCGCTGGGCCACAGTAAACGATGGACATTGAGATCCCCCGCTCCCAGCCTGCCCTCACTTCTGCGTCCAGCATCCTCTTGCAGCTCCGGTTGTGGCGAGAGCAAACAAGGCGAATCCCGAGCTGGCTGGGTCACGGCTGCCCAGCGTCAGGCCTTATGAATGACGCCGAACGGCGCCCGGCGACCTCTGACCCGCGGCGCCAGCCGGCCCCTCCCCCTCTGGCAGGTGGACAAGCCGCTGCGCCCGTCCGCCGTGGCGTCAGCCTCCGCTGGCCCGTGGCCGCTGCCGCACTGGGCAGGGGCGGGAGACTGCAGCGCTCACGGTACCACACGGGCGTGCGCCGGGACCGCCTCCCGCACCTCGCAGCGAGCGCCTGCCGCCCGGCTACCCTCCAGCCGTCGCCCCGCCCGCTGCCCGGGCCGCAGCCTGCGCAGCTGCCCCGCCCTCTCACCCCGAGACTGACACTGACCGGAGCCGCGCGTCTCAGCCAATGGGCAGCCTCGCAGGGCGAGCCCCAAGCCTTGTAGGGCTTCTCAGCCAATCACAGGCGATCGCCCGCCCGACTGTGGCCTCGCGAGCCCGTGAGTGGCTGAGCGCCTGCAACTCGCGTCAAGCACCCGGGAGCCTATGGTAGCGCGGGAAGGTTTCAGCGGGCCAATAGACAGCGGCGTGGGGCTGTCAGTCAGGGAGGCCTGAACCAATGGGCGGCGGGCTGCGGAGGCGTCACGGACAGAGGACTTGGGCTGAGGCTCCCCCGCGGGCGGGCGCAGAGAGACGCGGGAAGCAGGGGCTGGGCGGGGGTCGTGGCGCCGCAGCCAGCGCAGCCAGCCCCAGGGGCCGCCGCCTCCGCTGCCCAGCGCGCTCCGGGGCCGCCGGCCGCCTTAGCACCCGCCGCGCCGCAGCTCCGGGACCGGCCCCGGCCGCGACGCCGCCGCGATGGGCAACGCCGCCGCCGCCAAGAAGGGCAGCGAGCAGGAGAGCGGTGAGTTCCCGGCCGTCACCCTGATCTCCGCTGCGTGCGGCCTGCCCGTGCTCTGCCCATCACTGCATGGCCCCTCCCCCACATGCCCCCCCAATCCTGTCCGCCTGCACCCCTGCCTGATGCCTGTCCACGCTGAGGTCCAAGCACCGCAGACGTACCTTGCCCCCGGTAGGGCCCCCGTGCCCATAACCAACCATCCCCCACTGCAAAGGCCGTGCCCCCCCACCCAGCTGTCACTGCCAACCATTGCATGTATGACCGCCGGGGCCCCAGATGGGGCCCTGTCACCACCCCACCCCCTCCTCTTCTAGTCCCTTTTCCCAGATTCTAATCCCTCCCCACACTTCGTCACTCACCTTTTCCACACAAGCCCCAATGCCTGACCCTGATCCAGGCTCCTGCCAGTCTCGGGAGTGCTGTGGGGTCCACTCTGCAGGGACCTTGGCCACTTGGTGACCACACCCCTCCCCCTCCAGCCCCCGCCATCTTTCCCCTACCCCTGCCTGTGATCCTCCTAATCACAGCCCCCACCTCCAAGCCCCCTGTCCCCACGAGCGTTTTCCAGGGCCACCTCCTGCATTGTTTTCCCCTTCTGTGTCACTTGGCATGGGGGACAAGATCTTTCTGGGTCCCTCTGCCCCTCTCATCCTGTCACTCTGCCTCCTCCGTAAGCGTCTGGCCCTAGCTGGGGTGGCAGACTGTTTATGAACCTAGAGAGCTGCTTCTGCGCTTCCAGATCCAAGTTCGAGCTGGCCTCGCTCAGAGCCATCGCGTCTGTCCTCTTTCTGGGGTTACGGGTGGGGGAAATCGGCCGAGCACTCTCCCATCTCCTGGCCTGTCCTGAGCTCTGGGTTCCTTGGAAGCCCCCTCCCCCCCAATAAATGGTCGTTTCACAACTGCGGTTCTGTCATTCACCCAGTCCCTGGGGCTGCTTCACTCCTCCTGGTTCAAGGCTGAGAATGAAATGTAGTGTTAGCAGGGGCTCATTCGACTTGAATTGGGATGGTCAGAAGGAGGAATTGCAAGGGTAGGGAAACGCCATCGAGCCATAGGTGACAACTAATGATTTGGTTTGCTGAGGAGAGATGGATTCTGTGCATACCCAGGACTCACCCAAAGGGAGGTGTGTTTCACCCCCACCTCACCCCGCCCCCATCCCTAAACATGCTGAATTTTTTTTAACCAGGGAAAGAAACTGTATTTGAAATAGAAGAATTCTGTATTTGAAATACCTTCAGAAAGGGCCTTGTGCCCCGTTCCCATTACTTGCGTCTCTTAAAATTGTGTAATCCAAGCTAAAGCTGGACTGCCGCTGAGAACCCCTTCGGTTACCCAGAAATAGTCAGATCTCCCCAAAAGGAAGGCTATGACCAGCTCTGCCCTTCTCAGCATCTGAGTCCCCAGAATGCTACTAAGCCCAAGAACTTTCTGCCCCTCCCCCGCCTTCCAGACAGCACAGCAGCCTTAAGAGGCCTGGCATGTCACCGATGGGCGGGGGACGGAGAGGCAAGTGCTTGTAGTTGAGGGCTTGATGACAGAGGAGCAGGTGGGTAGTACTCAAAAAGGTCTTGGACTTGAGCTTGGAGGGGCCCAGGCGGAAGGGGAGGGCCAGCTCCCTTAGCAGGTGAGGCCCCCCAGGAGGTAGATGGTCCTGGCAGTAGAATGTATACTGCAGTGGCCCTTTTGAGAGTTGAACATAGTGCTAGAAAAGCTTCAAGCATATCAAACAGATTCAGCAGGAACTAAGAGCCACAGAGGGGAAAGAGCCCAAGAAAAAGATCAGAGTCTCCGAGTTGGCCAGCTGTTTCATTGGGATGAAGTCCAGCCATTGTTTATCGGCATCCGAGAGCTCTAACTTAAATAGTCTCCATAGATACACTTATTCTGATGATTTCTCTCCAGATGACGCAGATGACATCATACAGGCAGGATTCACACCCAGATCTGCCAACCAGCAGATCTCTTGGACCCCAGAACATCTCAACTCAGATGTTCTTTTATTTGTTTTGACTTTTTGAGACAGGGTCTCACTGTATAGTTCCACCTGGCCAGGAACTTGATCTGTAGACCAGGCTGGCCTCAAACTCCCAGAGATCTGCTTGTCTCTGCTTCCCAAGTGCTGAGATTAAAGGTGTGCGCCACCATGTCCAGCCTTCAGCCCAGACATTCTTAAGCTTCCTCCACAGGAGTTAAACCCCAGCCATAGTTTCCTAATTTAAAATGATAAAAAAAAAAACTGTGAATAGTACTGTATATTGGTACTACCAGCCATTCAAGAGGCTGACGCAGAAGGATTGTTTGAGCCCAAGAGTTAAAGGCTAGCTTAGGTGACAGCAAGACCTTGTATCAAGATACAAATAAAACCTGTGTTCATCAAGATGGCTCAACAGGTAAAGATTGTTTTGCTGCCAAGCATGCCAGTTTGAATTGTCTGCCTGGAACCCACATGGTGGAAGGAGAATCGGCTCCTACATGTTGTCCTCTGACTTCCACAAGGATGCGTGTACATACACAATAAATGTGGAAAATTAAAAATAATAAGACAGGCATAGCGATTCCTGCCTGGAACAAGCAAGTGAGGGACTGTGAGTCAGAAAGGACCTGAGTTTGAGGTCAGCCTGGGCCACAAAGGAGACATGGCCTTTTTTTTTTAAAAAAAAAAAAAGTAAAGACTGTACTCATTTTTGCTCATAGGTTCTAAGCTATAGCAGTCTGAGATTGCCTTTTATAGTCTCTGATGTACATTAAAATACAATGTAACTGCCGGGCAACGGTGACCCAGGCCTTTAACCTCAGCCCTTGGGAGGCAGAAGCAGGTGTGAGCTGGAGGCCAGCCTGGTCTACAAGAGCTAGTTCCAGGACAGGCACCAAAGCTACACAGAGAAACCCTGTCTCAAAACAAATAAACAGGCTGGGCGGTGGTGGCGCACGCCTTTAATCCCAGCACTTGGGAGGCAGAGGCAGGCGGATCTCTGTGAGTTCGAGACCAGCCTGGTCTACAAGAGCTAGTTCCAGGACAGGCTCCAAAACCACAGAGAAACCCTGTCTCGAAAAACCAAAACCAAAAAAACAAAACAAAACAAGTAAACAACAACAAAAAAAAAAACAATGTAACAATACGGAAGTGGTGTACAGGCTTATTGACCTAGCTTCTTGGGAGGCCAAAGCAAGAGAATCTTAAATTCTAAGATAGTCTGGGCAACTTAATGAGAAGCTATCTTAGTAAAAGTAATAAAAAATACTTAATAAAAGTAAGTAAGAGCTGGAGAATGTTCAAGACCCTAGGTTCAACCCTCAGTACCACTAAAAAAATAATAATAATTTTGTGCTCTGCCCCTGAGACCTAGTCAGACTTCAGAGGCATCCTTCCACCCCTAGAGAGAATGGGGTGAGAAAGGGAGTCCCTTTGCCTGGAAGCTTCTTACAGGAAGGAGGAAAGCTGGGTCTCCTCTCATGTAAGCAGGACTGGGGCAGTAGCCACACCAGCCTGCAGGGTGCACCTGCATTTCATCTGCCACATACCTACCCCTCTGGGGTTGGAAAGATACCCAAGCCGTCCTAGGCCCCAAGCACTGCACTGCCATGGCTTTGCCCAGGCAGGGCAAAGCTTGCTGTCTCCTTGACCAAGAGGGAAAGGGTCTAGAAGCAACCCAGGATGAAATAAGATAAGGGGAGTCTGCACCCTAAAATGCCACAGATGTTGATGGGCCAGAAGCCTAGAGGACAGAGGGAAAAGGTCAGGTTCCAGGAGGCTGCCAGTGCGAATAGCCAAGTGGGGCTCAGGTCTCAGCTAGTACACACCTCAGAGAGTTGATCCACAGGGAACCCCGAAGAAGTCCACATGACAAGTCGGTCCAGTCACTGAGGAAAGATGTCCTCAGGACATTCCTGGATAGAAAGATTTGTCTTCTAACATCCTATAGAGGTTCAACGGTCAAACCCTTGTTACCATTGGCAGTTGTATGGGTACCCAAGAGGGTCTTCCCATACAGCTTTGCCTTTTGCCCAGTCAGGCCAACAGAAGTTTGAAGGATTCTATCTGCCCTCCCCTTGCACCAACTAGTCTACAGGTTGAGTTTCTTACCCTATTCCCACCCTACAACTCCCTGGCTCCCTCTACAGGCAGGGCCCTGAGGACTGGCAGCCAAACTGGTGCAGCAGATCTTATGAGGCTTCCCAGCCACCGTAGTGTGCTAGTGCCCTGAGAAAGACTGAGTGATGGCTTCCAGCTCCAACGATGGTGAGGCTGAGCCCTGTTGCTATAGCAACTTCCTAGGCACTGTCTGCCCCTTAAGTCAGGGAGGGGCTGTGATAGAGGTTTAGGGGAACAGGTAGAGAGAAAGAATCTGAAGACTCTGTGGGTATCCCTGGAAACCCCTCCTTTCTTAACATCCTGGACTAGGGGGCCTGAGAGAGAAGAGCAGAGGGATGAATGGCCCATTTCAGACCAAAGCAGATGGTCCTTCCGGAGTGGAGCTCCAGCTCAGATGGGGCATGGAGTCGTCCCACCTAGTCTTGGGATTCAGCCCAGAATGAGGATTGGTCCACCTTAGACCTGGGTATAGTCCAGCTTGGTACCCTGAACCCTGCCAGACAGGGCCTTCCTCAAAGTGGGGGTGCGGTGTAGTGCACTCTGGCCTGCTGCTGTGTCCCTCATGCTTGAATCCAAGGTGATTTCTGCGTCTTGCTCTAGCACTGACTTTCCTAGAGGTATCTGGAGTTTTCTCAGTACATCAGATCCAGAGAGTGGAGGCCAATGACACCCTTCCCTTCCAAGTGGGAGAAGGCTGAGAGCAGCTGGGCTAGCCTCCTTGTCCACTTCCTGTTCAGCAGGGTCCATGGGTGCCCGGCAGCCCCAGGAAGGCCACTGTAGAGCTCTCAGCTTTGGGAGCCAGGAAAGAAGGAAGATGATGATTAACGCTACCTTCCCCTCCCCCACCCAAGTTTAGCCATTCATTTCCGGTTTGGACTTTTCATGGCTGAGAACAGAGCCAAGCACAGGGCACGGTTTGACAGAGGCCAAGGACATCCCAGGACACTGTTCCCCTCTCGCCCCTGCAAAGGAACAAGACAGAGACCCAGATGTATCCATTTCTCTCAGGGGTAGCAGGATTTGGGGGCTTCTTACTAAGAGGAGACTCAGACAAGATAGGTGGCTTTGGCCACTGTTTCCCACCCAGGCCTTCCTCTCCGCTGTTCTTGCAGCTAATTAACAAGCTCTGGGGCTTCTTTAACCTCTGGAGAGCTGGTGCCTGGTGCCTGGGCTGGGGCCTTAACTCCTTCACCTCTGCCCGTGGGCAGCACTCCAGGCCATGGACTTCGTGCAGACTACACCACTGGGGGAGACATCCTGGGAGCCATGGGCATCCCTGGAAGGGCAGGCCAGCCAGAGGGACACCCTCTAGAGAATCTTCCCACCTCTCGCTGCCAAGGAGAGCCTCTGCAGACCTTGGCCAGCCTGGAGCAGGTGCCTTTAAATGCTTCCGTGGCAACCAACTCCTTTCCCAACCCCCAGACCTTACCAAGACACACTGGTTACTCCAGCCAAGAAGAGATTGCAGATAGAATCCAGGGCCACCTGGGATGGATGTGGGGTCTGGAAGTTGTGAGCAGGAGGACGATGTCACCTTCCAGCTGTGGCTGCAGCTGTTCCTCTGGGCCCACCTGGCTGTCCGTTTCCTGGGTTACCTGCGCTGCACTTTCTGGGGACTAAAACCCCAGTCAGCACCCTGAATCCTGGCTGGAAGCTGAGGGGCCCCAGATTTGTCCATGCTCCCTAACCCCCATGCCACGCTGTGCTGGGAGAGGCAGGCAGCAGGTAAGTGGGCTCCGTTGGGGGCTACACGTAGTCTGCTGTGTGTGTGCAGCACCATTGCCTTCACTTTCTTTGTTTACTTCTCCAGAGGCCTGCCTTGTGTGAGAGCTTGCTGTCTCAGCTTCCTAGCTCGGGGACTGCAGCTAAGGTTTTTCTTTTGTGTTGTCTTGCTTGGGATGGAACCCAGGCCTTGTGCATGCTGGGAAGTGTGCTGCTGCCGAGCTACAGCGCCAGTCTCTTCCCTCAGCACAGGTTCTTGCTATACATTCTAGGCTGGCCTTGAACTCAGAATCCTGCCTCAGCTCCCAAAGTCTTGATCTTGTAAGCCTATGCCTTTACTCCAAGCCTCCTCCCTGCTCCCTGACCTGTCCCAGTACTAGAGAACCTGAGCCAGGAGAACTGCTCTGAGTTCAAGGCCATCCTGAGCTACTAGTGTCCTGTCATCCTGTTCTACAGTGTAAGGTCTTGTCTCAAAAAAATCAAGAGAAGGGCTGGCTGTGGTGACCTGTGCCTTTAATCCTAGCACTCAGGAGACAGAGATGGGAGCAGAGGTGGATCTCTGTGAGTTTGAGGCTAATCTGGTCTACATAGTGAGTTCCAAGACAGCCAGGACTATAGAGAGAGATATCCTGTCTCAAAGGGAGAAACAAGAAAGTATTAGCCATAGTTCTCTTAAGGAACAGAACTGGCAGAATGCATATTTATATATGGGATTTATTTACTAGAGTGGCTCGCAGGCTATGGTTTGGGTAGTTGTTCAAGCCTAAGACTGGATGTCTCAGCAGCCCCAATAGTGCTGGAGTTCTGGAAGATTCCTGGGCAACTGCTGCCTTTCAGTCTGCAATGAAATACTGAAGAAGTAGGTTCTGATACCAGCAAAGGAACGAACGCCTCGGCAGCAGGACAGATGGCCTTGCCAGTGCGAGAGAGGACAAGCAGGCCACAGCAGCATGTTCTCCTCATGTCCTTCTCATGTCCTTTGTGGGAGCTTATGGTGGGTCCTCCCACCTCGCAAGGTCTAATAAAGAAACCCCTCACAGGTGTGTCTAGCTGCTGGGGTTTTAGTTGAGTTGCCTACTAAGGTTAGTATCACAGCTATCAGCTGTTACAACTGGCATTTCTGTACCATACACCTGGCTTTTATGACTCCACCCCACCACCCTACAAGATCGTCAGTGCTTTATCCCCATTTGTTCATGTGGAAAATTGAGACCCAGAAAGATTAGATGAGTTGTCTAGAGATGCATAGCCCATCATGATCCAGACCAACTCTGAGCTCCTGTCCTGAAGTTGTCCCCTAGCTGCCTCTCAGGGGCTGTGCACAGCAGTAAACTGTCGTGAGGCCTCATTTTCCTGAGTTGTTAACTGAGTAAAACAGATAGATGTAAGGAAGGTTGTCAGGTAGATCAAATAAGAGTGTGGATGAAGTGGGTGTCCAGCCAGTTTCCAGGGACAGCTTCTACATTAGGAAATGAGATGCTGGCCTCAGGATGCTACAGGCGCCAGGGAGGAGTGTGCCTGAAGGGAGGCAGCCCCTCAGCAGAAACAGGCACAGAGCCAACGGGGGCCAAGGTGACAGCTGAGCCCCCCCAAGGGCGCCTGCTACACTATCCCTACAGGCCTCCACCAGAGCCTGGCCTCAACAGACGAGCAGCCAGATCAGAGGCTATAAATATCTCAGCTGGCACAGTCCTGGCCAAGGAATGTCTGTCAGTGCTAGGGAGTGTGGGGTGGGCTGGCCTATGTGCCTCTTGGTCTTGTGCACCCCTGTGTCTCTGTGAGCCCTGTTTAGGAGTTACCAGAATCCAGGACCCACCTCTGTAATTAAAACGGTACTCAGGCCCCAGTCCAATCATGATTCCCCAGGTTGCTGCTAGGATCCCCCAAAGACACTGGTAAAATATCAGACTCTGACTTGAAACAGCGGCACCCCACTTTCCACCAGAGCGGAAAATCTTGATGTGCCTTGAAGCAGGGACTCTCCCCCTAACCTTCTCTCTCTCCCTGCAGTGAAAGAGTTCCTAGCCAAGGCCAAGGAAGATTTCCTGAAAAAATGGGAGAGCCCTTCTCAGGTACGCACCTCAGACCGAGCAGTTCCCACGGTGACCCCTGCTTCTCATCACTAGGCCCCCACCCCATTTGTACCCTTGCACCTGGCAGCCCCTGCTCACCATGCAGCTGCCAGCAACTCCTGGGCCCCAGGCCAAGGCCGGATCTGGCCCCTGCCACCCTGCCTGGAAGAATGTCCCCTGGGTCGTCTCCACCCATTCCCCAGGGCCCCCTCTGCCGGTGGCATAGGGGACTCCCCAGCCCAGAAGTATGCAGAGAGGCACCCCTGAGCCCTCCCTTCCCTGTCCACAGAATACAGCCCAGTTGGACCAGTTTGATAGAATCAAGACCCTTGGCACCGGCTCCTTTGGGCGAGTGATGCTCGTGAAGCACAAGGAGACCGGGAACCACTACGCCATGAAGATCTTGGACAAACAGAAGGTAAGGACCAAACACTGCTGAGCTCAGGAGAGGGAAGTGGATGTGTATGTGCATCTTGTCTTAGGCTTTGTAAGTATTCCACTGGTGGGTTTCTTGTTTGGTTTTTCTGGCTTTTCGAGATAGGGTTTCTCTGTGTACCAGCCCTGACTGTCCTGGAACTCACTTTGTAGACCAGGCTGTCCTCGAACTCACAAAGATCTCCACTGGTGGTTTCATGTCCACTGTTAGGGTGCAGCTCAGAGGCAGAGCACTGGACCAACATCCTCAAGGCCCTAGATTCCATCCTCACCTCTGCAAAAGATGAAGTAAGCGGGAAAGGATGTGAGGGTCACAGTGTTGCTGCACACACAGGCCAGAACTCTGCGAACTTTGCCATCTATACTCAGTAGTGTCTTTGAACCTGTCCCCGTGAGTCCCCTTGTCCTCCACAGTCTGTCAGCCCCAAGGGTGATAAGGGCATGTGCCACCCCCACAAGAACACACAAACACACAGGTGTTCAGAGAAAGTAAGATTTACACGGTTCCTTCTTTTGTTTTGTTTTTCAAGATAGGGTTTCTCTACGTAGCACTTTGTAGACCAGGGGTTGGCCTTGAACTGGCAGAGATTTGCAGAGAGTTACCTGCTTCTGCCTCCTCAGTGCTGGAATTAAAGGTGTGCGCCACCATCGCTGAACTTAGACAGAAGTTCTTTGAAAAATGTATGTGTGTGTGTGTGTGTGTGTGTGGCTTGTTGACCAGCTGTTTCAAAACAGTGCGGTAGAGGATGGGAGTGGAGAGATGGCTCAGTGAGTTAAAGGCGCTTGCCACCAAGTATGATAACCTTAGTTCAGTCCCCAGAACCCACATGGTGGAAGGAGAGAACCACTCCTACAAGTTGTCCTTTGGCCAAGATCAAGTGTCCTCTGACCTCTCCAAGTGTGTCATGGCATAAACATGCACCCCCCCCACACACACACACACATACAGAAAGTGAATTTAAAGAAAGAAATGTGCAAGTTGGAAGGCTGAAGAGATACCCTTGGTGGACTAGTCACCTCGCAGGCAAGCATGGGGATCTGAGTTCAGTCCCAGGGTGCACACAAAGGCCAGCACAGCAGCGCTGTTCGTGTCAGGACTCCTGCTGTGAGCTGGGGCTGAGAGCCTGTCCTGTGTAGCAGCAGACAGGAACCTACCATTAAACAAGTTGGAAGGTGAGGACCTATACCCAGTTATCCTCTGATCTTCACACGTGCCATGGTACACACACCTGGATGCACACAAACACGCAGAACAGTTTTTTTTTTTTTTTTTTTTTTGGTTTTTCGAGACAGGGTTTCTCTGTGGCTTTGGAGCCTGTCCTGGAACTCGCTCTGTAGACCAGGCTGGTCTCGAACTCACAGAGATCCGCCTGCCTCTGCCTCCCAAGTGCTGGGATTAAAGGCGTGCACCACCATCGCCCGGCACGCAAGTTTTGTTTTATGAGATCGGGTTTCTCTGTGTAGCTCTGGCTGTCCTTGAACTAAGAGATCCACCTGCCTCTCCCTGCCTCTCTGATTGAGGAAGCTCCCCATGGTCATCCTCAACATGTGTGTGCACACACGAATGCATACACAGACCCACACGGAATTTTATTTTAAAGCTGTATGTGAGGGAACATTCCAGCACTGAGGAGGGAGTAGGTGGATGAGGAAGTCGAGGTCATCCTCACAGCAAATCCTTTGCCATCCTGGCTGTGTGATACCCTGCCTTAAAATAACAAAAAAAAAAAAAAAAAAAAAAAAACTTTGTTTGGAAATGGAGTCTCGCTTTGTAGCCAGATTGCCTTCAAACTTGAGATCCTCCTGCCTCTGCTTCCAGAGTACCTGGGTGACAGGTGTGTGCCGCTATTTGCAGCTTTTCATAAGGACTGCATATGTACAAGTGTGTGTTTTTGTGTCTGTGTATGCATGTACGAGGTAGAGATATAAGATCTATACCAGGTCTCTCCTTTAGTCATTGTCCATATTCACCATTATTGTCGTGATCATCATCATCATCATTATGTTTCTCTCTGTAGCCCTGGTTATCCCTGGAACTCACTCTGTAAACCAGGCTGGCCTCGAACTGGCCTCAAACTAAAGATATCTGCCTTCCTCTGCCTCCTGGAAGGAAATGCAATACCACGCCTGGCTCTCCACTTTATTTTACCAAGCTTGGAGTGGGACTGGCTGGCCACCAAGCACCAGGGAATCACCTGTCTTCCCCTACCAGTGCTGGGGTTGTAAGTGCACACCACCACACCTGGCTTTTCCATAGGTGCTGAGGATCTGAACTCAGGACCTCATGCTTCTGCTGTGGGCACTTTACCAACTGAGCCATCCCTCAACCCTTCCATAACGACTTCCTTAAAACTGTGTGCGCATATGAGTGCGTGTGCCTGTGGATGCAGGTGTGTGCACACCTGCGGGTGTGTTTGTAGGTACCTGTGGCAGCTAGAGGCATTGGATCTCCCAGGAGCTAGAATTAGAGGCATTTGTGAGCCACCTGACATGGGTGCTGGGACTCAAACTTTAGTCTTCTGCAAAATGCGTTCACACTTGCTTTTGGCCACTAAGATACCTGTCCAGACCCATGAAGATCTCTGATCCTGTTTGATGATGACACCAAGACACAGCACGGGTCACAGGATTTCTTCATTGGACTTTATTTCTGTTTGTATGTGGTCCTGGGTCTTTCACATTCTAGGGAGTTGTTCTACCACTGAGCTGCCCCTGAACCCTAACAGAGGGATTTTGACATTTTCTTGCTAGCCCATCAAAAGCATACAAAGAAACAGGTGAATTTTTTGTTGTTGTTGTTCTTTCCAGCTACTGGGGCTAGAACTCAAGACCCACATCTGTTAATCTACCACTGGGCTACATACCCACCCTGGAATTTATTTTAACCATGTTTGCAATTAATACAGTGGATCTGTCATAGTCATTTCTATGCTACCAGTGTACGTAAAGCTGATTGGTTAGTTGGTTTTAAGACACAGTCATCTATCCAAGCCCAGCTTCACATTCTTTTTGTTTGTTTGTTTTTGTTTTTGTTTTTGAAGCCTGTCTTGGAACTCACTCTGTAGACCAGGCTGGCCTCAAACTCAGAGATCCGCCTCCCTCTGCCTTCAAAGTGCTGGGATTAAAGGCGTGTACCACTACCACCTAGCCTCGCTTCAAATTCTGTGTAGCCAAGGCTAGCCCTGAGCTCCTGCTTGCTCTGCCTCCTCAGTGCTGGGATGTTTAGACTGCATGCACTGCCACACCGGGCTCAGTCGCTGCTGCTCCTTTTGGTTTTGTTACTTTTTTTTTTTTTTATTGGGGGCTGGAGATGAGAGCCACAGCAACACTGTAGAGGACAGAGGACAGCAGGAGTCATACTCTCTTTTTGCCATGTGGGTTCTAGGGATTGAACTCAGCTCACCAGATTTGGACCAAATTTGACAGTCTTGTTTTTGAGGCAAGGTCTTGGTATGTAGCCCAGGCTGCCCTCACACATGAAGTCTTCCTGAATGCAGAGATCACAGTGAAACAGCTTGTGATTTTTTTTCATGTTAAGTAGTTTGGAATGCACTGAATTTTATTTTCGGGGTGTGTGTGTTTGTGTAAGGATGTGTTTGTGTATGTGTGAGTGTGTTTTGAGATGGGATCTCACATAGCCTCGGCTGTCACTTCTGTGTAGGCAGAGTTGTTCTTGAACCCCAGATCCTCCTGCCTCAGTCTCTCAAGTGTACACCAAAGCCAGGTCATCTTGTACCTGCAAATCCGTGGAAAGGCAAGAAAGGATGCAGAAGCTGACAGCCTTGCCAGGGCACAGTTGTTTCACATGTGCCTGTTGCTGAGGGGGCGCTGGCAACATGGCTCAGCAGAGAAAGGCCGCCAAGCCTGATGACCCAAATTTGACCTCCAGGACTCAAGAGGAAAAGGGGGACAGACTTCCTCAGCTTGTTCTCTGACCTCCACATGTATGCCTTGGCATGCACAGGTTGCCCACAACAGAAATATAAATAAAAAATAAATTTAGAGTTTCGGCCATCAGGAGCTAATCTAGCACATGCAAAGTCCTGGGTCCCATGTCTGACACGGCAAGAGATTTAAAAAAAAAAAAGTGCTTGACCAGAAAAAGAAAAACTGATTTCTAAGCTGCCATGCCTTTGGGGTCTCGCTGGTATCATTAAGTCTCCTATCCTTGCAGGCAGCCTTCTCTGCCCCCCCCCCCCACTTTCCAGACTTTTCCAGGTGTCTGATAGGGGCCTTTGTAAGCCCCAGGCTCCCTCTCCCAAAATTCTTCTGGTTTTGGGGACTCCTACACATGCTTTCTGCCCTAGTTGTGTGCCACGTAAGGACTGTCAGCTCTTAGCACGCAGCCAGGGCCGTGGATATCTGGCTAAAGAAATAGCCCCCACTCCCATCTTCCTGGTCCTGACCAAGCCTAGGGAATGAGGCCCCTCCCACACCTCTTTTCTGCCTCAGGTGGTGAAGCTGAAGCAGATTGAGCACACTCTAAATGAGAAACGCATCCTGCAGGCTGTCAACTTCCCGTTCCTGGTCAGACTTGAATTCTCCTTCAAGGTAAGGACCACAGCCAGGGCTTCAGGAGGGTGGAGGGTGGCTCCGGGCCCATACTGAGCATGGCCTCCTGATCCCCCGGGCTGGGGCCACCCACTTTGAAGGAAGAAGACCCTTGGAGGAAGAATGCCAGAAACGGGTGGACTGGGGCCCTGGGCCCCTCCAGTTGAGCTCTTCAGCTAGTCAGCTGCTAGTTCAGTAACTTCGGGCGTCACCCAGCCTGAGTGACCTCCAGAGTCACCACCCTGACTCATTCCAGGAACCCCAACTGCCACTCGGCAACCAGGGAGCTGCGCCTCCCTGTGCCCTGCAGGAGAGGCACTGACCACACTGGGCCTTGCTCTTCTCATCTGTGAAATGGGACTCAGCACAGCCCTCCTATTGTGAGGTTGTAAGAGTAAGGAGTTCTCACAGGTGCATAAGAGCCTGTGGGAATGCCTCTCAGACAGACAGTCACCAGAGCCTGTCCCCACCAGAGCCCGTCCCTACCAGAGCCCATCCCCACCAGAGCCCGTCCCCACCAGAGCCCGTCCCCACCAGAGCCCGTCCCCATAGAGAACATCCCCACAGAGCCCGTCCCCAAGAGCCTGGCCCCATCAGAGTCTGTCCCCACAGAGCCTGTCCCCACCAGAGCCCGTCCCAGAAGTTCCCCATGCAGAAGCTGTACAGAAGTTCAGAGTTTTTTAAAATTTTTTTGTTTTTGTTTTTGTTTTTCAAGGCATAATTCCTCTGTGTAGCCCTGGCTGTCCTGAAACTTGATCTGTAGACCAGGCTGGCCTCAAACTCAGAGATCTGCCTGCCTCTGCCTCCCAAGTGCTGGGATTAAAGGCGTGCGCCACCACCGCCCGGCTTAGTTTTTGTTTTTTGAGACAGGGTCTCACTATGTAGCCCAAGCTGGCCCAGAATTCACCATCCCTCCTGCCTGAGCTTCCGAGAGCTGGAATCATAGGTGTACAATATGGCTCCTTATCAGTTTTGTTTTGTTTCTTGCGGTGTTAGAAATGGAACTCGGTGCTGTGTGTGTGGGAGACAAGAGCTCCACAGTTGAGCCGCGTCCCCAGTCCCATAATAACCTTCTGTTCTTTTGGTGGTGAGCGTGGAAAGGCAGAGCTACCTCTCCGACAACCTGTCAGACTTTTGTTCTTAGCAGGGCTTATGTTTTCTTCTTACTCTCCAGCCCAGGCTGATCTCAGAGTCTTCGTCCACCCCAGCAGCTGAGACTCCAGCTGTGTACCACCCTGCCCACATGGTTTTGTTCTGGGTCCTGCAAATTCTGTGGCCTGTCTTACCTGTTTGGCAGATGATGGAACTGAGGTTGAAACAGTAGCCATTGCAGAACTACAGCTAGCCAGGGCCCAAATCCTCTCCTTCTCCCCTGTGAGAACAGAGCAGCAGCTTCCTCTTCCTGCTCCCAGAGAAAATGCAGCTCCTGGTGCTTGAAGCATGGGCCGTTGGGAAGATAGTTGTCACTGAGGGTTTGTGCTTGCTCCTCCAGGCCACTGTGGTCTTCAGCTGGGGCCCAGTGCCTGGAGACAGGGCCTTGACTCGCTTTGCCTCCCACAGGACAACTCAAACTTATACATGGTCATGGAGTATGTACCTGGTGGGGAGATGTTCTCCCACTTACGACGGATCGGAAGGTTCAGGTAAGCAGGCCCCACCCCTGCTACCCAGGGGCCACTATCCAGGGACATAGAAGAGTCCAGTCTGCTTAGAAATGGAAAGTGATGTCTCTGGGTTCTGGTGGGATTTTGTTTTGTTTTGATTTGTTTGTGTGTGTTGTTTATTGATGGGGTCTTGGTGTGTGTGTGTTATTTATTGATGGGGTCTTGCTGTGTGTGTGTGTGTGTGTGTGTGTGTGTGTGTGTGTGTTGTTTATTGATGGGGTCTTGCTATAGAGCCAGAGCTGGTCTTTGGCTCAAGATCCTCTTGGTCCTGCCTCCTGAGTGCTGATGTGACAGGCGGCTGTCACCACACTCAGCCCCTGTGACGTTTTGTTCCTGTTATGCTAAGCAATTTGTGATGTTTCAGCCAGCCAAGCTGAGTGACCAGGACAGAAACAGGAGAGAGAGAGAGAGAGAGAGAGAGAGAGAGAGAGAGAGAGATCGATCGATCATACTATGTAGTCCAGGCTAACCTTCAAATCCTAGGCTGACTCTCTTCTTCTCTCTCAGCTTCTTGGAACCACAGAAACTCACCATTGCACCTAGCAAGATTTTTTTAAATTAGTAGATAATTTTATGTAGTTTTAAATTTTATACTATTTGTCACTTAACAAGTAGATATAAATATATCTTGTATACACTAAAATCCAAACATCTTGACAAGTGTCACTGGTGCACACCTCTAGTCCCAGCACTGAGGATATCGAGGCAGGAGGATCAGGAGTTCGAGGCTAGCCTAGGCTGCATAAAAAGCCCCTTTCTCAAACACAAGCAACCGCCTTCAAAACCAAATCAGAAAGCAAAGTCTCCGTGAGCTACTGTGAGGGTTGCCTTAGTCAGGAGCGCACTACCTTCCCTTTCATTTCTGTCATCTTTCAAATGCTGGCCAGGCCCTGAGCATGGTTTTCTGGTCCCTTACGCTCCCTTTTCTCTAAAGCCCTTCTCCCTTCTGTGTGGCTGCCCTCCTTGCTGGTACTTTCTCCCTGGGGGCTCTCTAAAAGTTGTCCTCGTTTTGTGAGCTTCAGCTTCGCTTGACCTGTAGCACTTGGTGGTTGACCCTATGGGGTGTTTGGGGGTTATTTTTGTTTGGTTTTGAGACAGGGTCTCTTTATGTAACTTTGGCTAACCTGGAACTTACCTGTAGACCAGAGCGACCTAAAGCTTACAGGTCTCTGGAACACTGGCATTCAAGGTGTACGCCATTGTGCCTGGCAAGGTGGCCTTTGTTTTGACACTTGTCTGGACCCTGGTGACTTTCTTCCAAGTCTTTGATTATCAGACAAAACCCCTTAAACTGCTTCCTTGGGTAAGGTGACTCCTCACCTAGGCGCTTGTCCCCTCTAAGCCTTCCAGCTCGAGTTTCTTTTAGCTGACTTTGGTATAGAATTGTACAGCTTAGACTCTGGGGAGGTGGAAAGCTTCATTTTTTTTTTGTTGTTGTTGTTTGTTTTGTTTTTAACACAGGGTCTCACTAAGTAGTCTGGGCCGGCCTGGAACACATAATGTAGTCCAGACTGGCCTCAAACATACGTCAGCCCTTCTGCCTCTGCCTCCCAGTGCCCTGATGACAGATATGTGCCACCATGTCAGGCTCCCCAGTTTTTGCACTACTGGTTGGGTCTGTGTTACCCAGGTTGTCTTGGAATCCTGGGGTCATGTAATCCCTCTACCTCAGCCCCCCACATAGCTGGAACTACTAGAGCACGGCATCATGCCCAGCCTTGAATCTACGTTTTGATTAGCTAGACACGGGATGTCTTACTCTGTGGGCACATAGACCCACTTGCTGGACCACTCGGATGTGGTCATGCTCACCCACACATCCCCTCCTGGCTTGTCCCCACCAGCGAGCCCCACGCCCGTTTCTACGCGGCGCAGATCGTCCTGACCTTTGAGTATCTGCACTCCCTGGACCTCATCTACCGGGACCTGAAGCCCGAGAACCTTCTCATCGACCAGCAGGGCTATATTCAGGTGCCCATGGCCGGGGGAGGGCGCTCCCGGGCACATGGAAGCCTGCAGCCCTTCTTCCTACCTACTACTGCCTATTCTTGTGCCTACAGGTGACAGACTTCGGTTTTGCCAAGCGTGTGAAAGGCCGTACTTGGACCTTGTGTGGGACCCCTGAGTACTTGGCCCCTGAGATTATCCTAAGCAAAGTAGGCACCTCACCAGCCTGCCCCACCCCTGAGGCCTGCTCCACCTCACTAGCCCGCCCTGCCCCTGAGGAATCATCTCCTCTTCACCTTCTTGCTTCATCGAATGGCCCCCCCATCTTGCTCTAGGGCTACAACAAGGCTGTGGACTGGTGGGCTCTCGGGGTCCTCATCTACGAGATGGCTGCTGGTTACCCGCCCTTCTTCGCTGACCAGCCTATCCAGATCTACGAGAAAATCGTCTCTGGGAAGGTGAGGCCAGGATGTGGAGCTCATCCCTGGAAGGAACCGAAACCGCCTTCCACATTTCCCCCACCAACCCGTCACCCTAACACCCAGGAGCCTGAGGCAGGAGCATCTGAGGCCAGCCTGAGCCACATAGAAATTTCCAAGAGAGCCTGGGCTAACTAGTGAAACAGAAAAGTCAGGGAAGAGGGGTGTGACTCAGTAGTAGAGCAGTGGCCTAGCATGGATACCCCAGCAACACACACAGCTGTGCCCCTGGTCCTGCCCACCGTGGAGCACCACTGTTGACATAATGTGGACACTCCGCAAGTGAGGAGCGGCGCTCTCTCTCCCTCTCTCTCTCTCTCTCTCTCTCTCTCTCTCTCTCCAATGCTTTGGAGCATCTATCTCACAACTGACAGAACTGAGGAAGCCTGAGCCACACCAGAACCCTGGATACAGAAAGTGCTGCCCTGACAGACCAGAACAAACTTGTTCCCATATGTCTGCCCCAGCCATTCCAGCAAACCTCATGCTGCTGTAGCTATTCTTTCTAGACGTGAGGTCTCCTTAGTCACCCTGGCATGGTGGCACAGCACTCTTTAGTGGTAGTCCAGACCAGTTGGGTTACAGAGACAACCGCAGCAGTGTTCCTTTCAGGAGGACTGTTCGTGGGTCACTCTTCAGCCATATCCTGAAGAAAGGGCACCCCTGTAGGAGAGGTGAGGAAACTGAGGTACAGAAAGGGAGTGTGACCGGTCTGAGTTTGCACCATGAGAAGTACATGGAAGCCTCAGTGTGGGGCGGTGCTGAGAATCCCAGCCCTGTGTTCAGCAACCCCACCTAGCAGGGGGGCCGCTGGTTGGCTCCAAGTCTCCATATGCTCAGACAGTTGTGGGCACAGCCCGGCTCCAGGTCCCAGCCCTGCCACAGCTACTAGGTGAAGTGGAGACAAACCGACTTTGATTCTCTGAGCCTCATTTACCCATCAACCATCTGACCTCTGGGAACTCAGGGCTGGGCACACACTCACCATCACCTGTGAGTGAAATATGAGCACCTCCCATTAGAGAGGAGAAGCAGCAGACAGCCATGGGGCGTGGCAGCATGAGCTTCGCTTCTTTTTCTTTCTTTTTTCTTTTTTTTTTTTTTTGACACAGGGTCTCACTTTGTAGCCTTGAGTAGGTTAGATTTACTATGTACACTAGGCTGATAGCAAACACAGAAATCTATCTGCCAAGTGCTTTTTATCCTAGCATTCAAAAGGCTGAGGCAGGAGGATTGTTGTGAGGTTAGATAAAGAGATTTTAGACCTGTTACAGGATGTCACTCAGAAGAAACACTAAATGGAAAACTGAAATGTCAAAGATGGTGGCTTAGTACAAAAAAGTCCATGGGCCGGACGCCCACTTTTAATCCCAGCACGTGGGAGACAGAGGCAGGTGGATGTCTGTGATTTGAGGCCAGCCTGGTCTACAAAGCTAGTTCCAGGATAGCTAGGGCTGTTACACGGAGAAACCCTGTCTTGAAAAAAACGGAAAAAAAAAAAAAAAGCACCATGGATGAAGTGAGGAGAAAGCGAGGGAATTCCCTTGTGTTGTTTTAAAAACAAGAGTCCCAGGTTGGACTCCAGCTCCACATGTAATCAAGGTCACCCTTGAACTCAGGGTCCTGCTGCTGCCTCCCAAGTCCTGGGTTAGGTTAACAGGCGTGCACCACACAAACGGCTGAGCATAATCCCCTTCTTTGTAGCAATTTACAGTTCCCACGGGCCCTGATCACGTTATCTCACCACACAGAACCCTGGGACGTGGCCGGCACAGGCCTGGAGAGGTTAAGGACCCTGGCCAAGGTCACACAGCCCAGGAGAGGAGTAGCAGGGACCAGTTGGTTTTCTTTTGTCTTCCTTTTCTTCCTTTGGGTCTGCTTCTCCTGCTAGTCTGCCTTCCCTTTCTTCCTTTCCTCCTTCCTCCTTTTTTTTCTTCCTTTCTCTACTGTTTTTCCTTCAGTTTGTTTATATCTGTTCATTGTGCCTGTGCCTGTGTCAGCTTTCAAGATCAGTCCTCTCCACCATGTGCGCCTTGGCTCGCAAGCTCAGGTCATCAGGCTTGGCAACAAGTACCTTTGCCTGCTGAGCCTTTTCTCCAGCCCTTTTGTGTTTTTGCTTTCGTTTTGTTTCTTTTCTTTCTTTTTCTTTTTTCTTTTTTTCTTTTTTTTTTTTTGAGACAGGGTTTCTTTGTAGCTTTGGTGCCTGTCCTGGAACTCACTTTGTAGACCAGGCTGCCCTGGAACTCACAGAGATCTGCCTGCCTCTGCCTCCCAAGTGCTGGAATTAAAGATGTGTGCCACGACCACCCTGCTTGTTTTGTTTCTTTTACAGTAGGGTCTCACTATGTATCCCTGGCACTCAACCTTCCTGCATTAGCCCCCAAAGTGCAGGAATGACAGGCTCCTGGAAGTCAATTCTTTTGTTTTGTTTTAACTTTTTTATTGAGCTATACATTTTTCTCCACTCCCCTCCCTATGTATACAGTATTCTGTCTGCATGTATGCCTACAAGTCAGAAGAGGGCACCAAATCTCATTACAGATAGTTATGAGCCACCATGTGGTTGCTGGGAATTGAACCTAGGACCTTTGGAAGAACATCCAGTGCTTTTAACCTCAGAGCCATCTCTCCAGCCCTGGAAGTAGTTCTTACCAGTATAAATTCAGAGGCTGTACAGGGATGTGCAGAGCCTCTGGAGGTGGATGGCTGGAAGAACTGGCCCTGAAGGAATGCTGAGTGAGAAAGGAAATATTCTTAATTCAGAAGCCCTCAGACTCCAGCAGAGCTGGCTGAAGAATCCTAGATGAGGATCTAAGTCTTCAGACCTGAGATAAACCTCCTACAGTTGTTTCCTGGGACCTTGGGATAGTTGATTCTCAGCCCTTACCCAGAATTCCTAAACCAGCAAACCCAGAGGGGACTCAGCATATAAATATTTTTTTTTTTTGTTTGCATGGCTGCTAGGGCCTAAAGACAGTGTACTGTGTGCGGTGAGCTACTGACCTGCTACAGCACAGTAGGCTAGCTCCAACAGCCATTTCTGTTTACTTACTTTAGTTTTTCAGTTATGTGTATATTTGTGTGTCTGTAGGTGTGTACACATAGTGTAGGTACCCTTGTAGGCCAAAGGCATTGGCTCCCCTGAGGCTGGAGTTACAGGTGGTTGTGAGCCACCATGTGGGTCCTCTCCAAGAGCAGAGCCATCCATTGGTCCAACAATGAGCCTTCTTTTTTAAAATTCCTTTCTTTCTTTTGAGGCAAGGTTTTATGTAGCCTTGGCTGGTCTGGAACTTACTGTGTAGATCATGCTGGCCTTAAATAACTCAATCACAAAGACCTGCCTGCCTCTGCCTGAGGGCTGGGATTATAAGCGAGGGCCACCACACTCCACAGCAAGCCATCTTAACAGATTTTCCTCTGTAGGACTGTTAGATAAGACAGGTACCATCCAGCCAGAGTGTAATGATAAACGCCTGAAGTTCTCACACTCGGATGTTCAAGGCCCAGCTTAGCTACACGTTAAGGTCCTGTCCTGCATGGTGTGGTGGAGCTCAAATTTAATCCCAGCACTGGGGGAGGCAGATGCAGGTAGATTTCTGAGTTCCAGGACAGCCAGGCCTACTCAGAAGCCATAGCTACTCAGAGATATCCTGTGCGTGTTTTTTTTTTGGGGGGGGGGGTACTGTCTCAAAAAGTGGAAAAGGCAACATTGTGTACCCCTGAATCTGTGAGCAGCACCCCATTCTATCTGCACCCCCTTCCAGGTGCGGTTCCCATCCCACTTCAGCTCTGACTTGAAGGACCTGCTACGGAACCTTCTGCAGGTGGATCTTACCAAGCGCTTTGGGAACCTCAAGAATGGGGTCAATGACATTAAGAACCATAAGTGGTTTGCCACGACTGACTGGATTGCCATCTATCAGAGAAAGGTGGGTTTAATTTTTCCCAGCATGTCCAGAGTTGGGGAAAGGGAAGGAGACAGCGACGGGATCTTGTGAATGGCCTGTTAAGCCCAGGATCAAACACCAGAAGGCTTCCTGGAGCTGGTAAGGGACTGGACATGGGATGCTGGGGTCTTCTGGCCACTCTGTGGTCTTGGGCAGGAAATATTCTCTGGGAAATGACTTCCATTTGGTAAGCTGGGATGCAAAGAAGACACAGTGCCCTAACGTTGAGCACAGGCCTGGGCCACAGCAGTGTCTCCTGAATATTAGGCCATTCATCCTTATTGTTGTACTGGTGTGAGGTCAGCTAATGAGCTCTGGGCGATTCTCGATCCCTCTCCAGGTGGAAGCTCCCTTCATACCAAAGTTTAAAGGCCCTGGGGACACGAGTAACTTTGACGACTATGAGGAGGAAGAGATCCGGGTCTCCATCAATGAGAAATGTGGCAAGGAGTTTACTGAGTTTTAGGGGTGTGCTTGTGCACCATGGGTTTTCTTTCATTCTTTCTTTTTCTTTCTTTCTTTTTTTTTCTTTCTGGTTGGGGGTGGGAGGGTTGGATCGAACAGCCAGAGGGCCCTAGAGTTCCATGCATCTAAATTAACACCCACTCCACACCCCCAGGTTAGGGAGAGCAGGAAAGCCAGATATGGGGAAGGGGCAACATCAGCTGCTCCCCTTCTCCCCCACACGTCTCTGCCTGTTTTCAATGGATTTCTCAGCTCCAGTCACACCCAGTCTTACTGGTGTATCCAAGGGCAGGGTCTGGAAAGAGGGGCGCAAATTTGCCCCAGCCTCCACCCCCAAGCCAGCACTGGACACTAAGAGCGAACAGAAAAGCCAACCTTCCCTTCCATGCAGTCCTACTTGGAAAGGGAGATTTTAGTCACATGTACAGAGGGCTGCTTGCTAGTAGGTTTTTTTTTCTTTTTTTTTTAAATTTTCATTTAAATTAAGTTCCACCAGTGCCTCCCACCCTCCAAATTGTCCCACCCCTCCCAAAACCCCTCGCCACTCCCCAAATCCACTCTGATGAGGCCGGGGTAGCCAACTGACTCTTGTCAAGGAAGGAACTGGGCTTTGAACCTCGCCCTGTGCTGCTAGCTTCCCGGCCCCCCCTCTCCAGGGGTCTCATGCCAATTCTTCCGCGCATCAGCCCCCTTAAGAAGCCCCTCCGATCCTGGGCGCCTCACTTCTAGCTTAGCTGTCAGCTGTCCATCACCTCTTGCTGTGCATCCCCACTCACTGCACCCCCCAAGTCTGATTGTGCTTTTCTCTCAATAGAAAGGTGGGGAGCGACTGGGAAATTATCCTAGTTATCCCTGTGTTTGTCCCTCTTGTAACTTCTCCCAAACAGGAGGAGCTCTCAGGCCTGGGTGGGGGCCCCGGGTGGGCGAGGGGGGCCGTTCAACCTGTGTGCTGGAAGGATGAGACTTCCTCTTGAACAGTGTGCTGTTGTAAACATATTTGAAAACTATTACCAATAAAGTTTTGTTTTAAAATAAAAGTGTCGCTGGTATTCCCGACTTCGATCACACCGTCACACCCTCAGGGTGTTGGAAAGGGAATTTCGGACCTCAGCGTCCAGGCTCTGGAGACCCCAGCTCGGGGACCCTGGAGAAACCGGGCTTAGCTGGAATTCCTGCACTTCCTCCGCCCCGCCAGAGAAAGGAGGGGTGGGGTGGGCAAACTGTCCTTTGACCCTGAGTTCGGGGGTCCTCAAATCTGCTCGCACCCCTACTTCGTCTAGTCCTGGACCGAAGGGGACTGGAGGGAGGTGCCCGGGCCGGTACGGCCAAACTGCAGCGGGATCGGCCGGGTAGAAGGAGAAGGGGAGACCCGCACGCCCCCAAGCCCTCATCTAGGTGCGGCAGGGCCGCTGGTGAGCTCTCCGCGGCTCCCCAGAAGCGCGGCGCGTCGGGCCGCGGCGCGGCTAGTTCCCGGTAAGTGCGGTCCCGAGAGCGCTGCGCGCGGAGAGGCGTGGAGAGGGGGCTGGGCGCCGAGGACGTCTGGGTCCCGCGCCCAATGGCTGGAGGGCGGCCGAACGCCGCCCGCGCGCCCCGCCCGCCCCCTGTCCCCTCCCCCCATGCGCTCCCCTCCCCCTCCCCCGCCCGCCGCGCTCCCCGCCCCCGATCCGGCGCCAACTCCGCGGCGCCTCCTTAAAAAGCGCGCGGGAGTTGTAAGGGGGGGCCGGAGCGAGCCGGAGTGAGCTAGAGAGCCGGGTACACGGGGCGGGCGGGGGCCTGGGCTCCACCTTAAAAGCGGGCGCGTGGGGGTGGGAGGGAGCGAGGAAGGCGGGCAGCGGGGGAGGGCGAGCAGGAAGGGGGGCCGGAGTGTCCCGGGCGCAGGGCGCGCGTGCGGCGGCGGCGGCGGGGAGGGGCCGGCCGCGCCGCGCTCCCCTCCTCCCTCCTCGCATCCCCGGCCCCGCGCGCGCCCAGCAGAAGCGGGGCTGTTGTGTGCGTGCGTGCGAGTGAGTGAGTGTGTGCATATTTTTTTCCTCTTTTCTTTCTCTCTCACTATTTTTTTTTCTGTCTCTCTCGCGCGCTCTCCTCTCTCTCTCTCTCTCTCTTTTTTTTTTTTTTTTTTTTTTTTTTTTTGCGAAGAAACAGCAGCGCCGCCGCCGCTCCGCCGAGGCGCTGCGCCCCCCGGGGGGAGGCGGAGGAGGCGGGCAGCGGCGGAGGGAGGGAAGCGGGGAGGGGGCGCCGCGCTGGGAGGGAGGCAGCGCGCACCGTGCAGCCGGGCCGGGCGGGAGGCATGGCGGGGCCCCCGGCCCTACCCCCGCCGGAGACGGCGGCGGCCGCCACCACGGCGGCCGCCGCCTCGTCGTCCGCCGCTTCCCCGCACTACCAAGAGTGGATTCTGGACACCATCGACTCGCTGCGCTCGCGCAAGGCGCGGCCGGACCTGGAGCGCATCTGCCGGATGGTGCGGCGGCGGCACGGCCCGGAGCCCGAGCGCACGCGCGCGGAGCTCGAGAAACTGATCCAGCAGCGCGCCGTGCTCCGGGTCAGCTACAAGGGGAGCATCTCGTACCGCAACGCGGCGCGCGTCCAGCCGCCCCGCCGCGGAGCCACCCCGCCCGCCCCGCCGCGCGTCCCCCGCGGGGGCCCCGCCGCGCCGCCGCCCACGCCCGCCCCGCCGCCCGCGCCCGTCGCCGCCCCGACCCGGGCGCCCCGCGCGGCCGCCGCCACAGCGCCCCCTTCTCCCGGCCCCGCGCAGCCGGGTTCCCGGGCGCAGCGGGCCGCGCCCCTGGCCGCGCCGCCACCAGCGCCCGCCGCGCCCCCGGCCGCGGCGCCCCCAGCCGGCCCGCGCCGTGCACCGCCGCCCGCCGTCGCCGCCCGGGAGCCTCCGCCGCCGGCGCCGCCACAGCAGCAGCAGCCGCCACCGCCGCAGCCACAGCCGCCGCCGGAGGGGGGCGCGGCGCGGGCGGGCGGCCCGGCGCGGCCCGTGAGCCTGCGGGAAGTCGTGCGCTACCTCGGGGGCAGCGGCGGCCCCAGCGGCCGCCTTACTCGCGGCCGCGTGCAAGGGCTGCTGGAAGAGGAGGCGGCACGGAGCCGTCTGGAGCGCACCCGCTTGGGAGCGCTCGCACTGCCCCGCGGAGACAGGCCGGGACGGGCACCGCCGGCCGCTAGCGCACGCGCGGCGCGGAGCAAGGTGAGCGCACCGGGCAGGTGCGGGCGAAGTTGGCGGGGACTAGAGCCCCGGGAGGGAGCGGGACGTCAGGTGGCCGGGGTTCGTCCACGGTCCCCGCGGACTCAGAACGCGGTGATCTTGGTCAGTGACCTGATCTGCCGGAGCCTCAGTTTCCTCGGCTGTAAACCGAGAATTGCTGATAGTAGCGACCCCTGGGGGTTGTTGAGCGAGTTTAGTAAGACTTGGCTATTGAGGGCTTTATTAACCCAGAGCCTGGCACGGAAACGACAGCATAAAAGTTACTCCGTGTTGTTGTCAAAGGTGGCGTCGGACACTGGATTCCATCCGGGACTAGAAGAACTCTAACTCTGCCTGCTTCTTTCTCTGGCCCCAGAGAGGTGGAGAAGAGCGGGTGTTTGAGAAAGAAGAGGAAGACGATGATGAAGACGAGGAGGAGGAGGACAATATATCAGAGGGCTCAGAAGTGCCTGAGAGTGACCGCCCCGCAGGTGCTCAGCACCACCAGATTAATGGAGAGCGGGCCCCTCAGAGTGCGAAGGAAAGGGTCAAGGAGTGGTCGTCCTGTGGACCCTACCAGGGCCAGGATGAAGGGCGGGGACCAGCACCTGGCAGCTGCACACGCCAGGTGTTCTCGATGACAGCTATGAATAAAGAAGGGGGGTCAGGTAAGGACCCCCTCGGGGTCGGGCGGTGCAGAGCCGGGAGCTGTGACCTCTAGCCTGGAGACTGACTGCCACTTGCTTTTGCTTCCCAGCTTGTGTTACAGCTGCTCCAGATTCGCCATCTCCTGTGCCTTTGCCCCCAGGAAAACCAGCCCTACCTGGGGCTGATGGGACACCTTTTGGCTGTCCGTAAGTGGAGGCATTAGGAACATTGGGGTTAGCACCTGGGCGTGTTGGACAATCAGAGCTGTGTGGTTGTATGGTGGTCACTGTTGCTCTCTGTTCTGATGCAGTCCTGGACGCAAAGAGAAGCCAACCGACCCAGTGGAGTGGACAGTCATGGATGTGGTGGAGTACTTCACTGAGGCAGGCTTCCCAGAGCAGGCCACTGCTTTTCAGGAGCAGGTGAGTTCCCAGCCTGCGACTGCGCACCGCTCTGCCCAGGCCCTCACAGGTGTTCACTGACCTGTCCTTTCTGTCCTGCCCAGGAAATTGATGGCAAGTCTTTGTTGCTCATGCAACGGACAGATGTGCTGACTGGCCTGTCCATCCGCCTGGGCCCAGCCCTGAAGATCTACGAGCACCACATCAAGGTGCTCCAGCAAGGCCATTTTGAGGAGGATGACCCTGATGGCTTCCTCGGCTGAGTGCCAGCCTTGCCCCTACCCCAGCCAGTCCAGATCGTATCACAGCGCCCTGACAGTCCAGGAACTGGACATAGGGACACCCTCGACCTTCCTAACAGACTCCAGTGAGGGGGTACCCTCCTCCATTTCCCCCTTTTCTCACACCCCTACCTTAGTACATCTCTCCACAGCCATGGAGTGTGGGGTAGGAGGACTTGGTTGGCCCATTCACAGGGGCCACCCTTTCTCCTCAAACCAGGACATTTTTGAAAATCAAAAAATCAGGGGAGCTTCCTGTGGCCCCCAAACCCTCTTCAGTTCAGCCAGATGTTATATAAGTGTTCTGTTCTGCCTGTCCTGGTGGTGGGTTCTGCTCCACCACCCGTTCTCTGCCCCCCACCCTGACCTCTAGCCTCTGGAAAACAGGTGAGGTAAGGGACCTTGGGTCCTCTGGCTCCTTCCCTTTCTGTCTGTCCATTGTTGCTCCACCTGGCTGTATGGCTTTTTAATATTGCACCGAAGGTTTTTTAAATAAAACTTTAAAAGAAAAAGAGTCCATTTTTCTGAATGGAGGCAGGAGGTGCAAATAGCCTTGAGTTTAGTGTGGGGGCAAGAGGGAAGAACAGTGCCTGCTTTGCCCAGCCCCCCAGAAGGGCTGACTCCAGGGGGCCCTTGCCAAGCCTGTGGACAGTGTGCCATGGTTCCATTTCCCGGTGCTACGGAAAGGAAGTAGTGTTTGCAGCACATGTCGTCAGCATTTCAGAGACAGAAGCAGGATCAGGACAAGGCTAGCCTTAGCTGCATAGTGAGTTCAGGGCCAGCCTAGGTTACCTACAGTTCTGTCTTGCAAAAAAAAAAAAACAACTCTAGGACCAGAATAGTTGCTTTGTCTTGTCATCTCATTCCAGAACCACCTGTCAAGCGTTTGTTGAGTGACTAACCGTTAACTGCAAAGCACACTTGCTGGGCCTTTAGTTGTTTACTCTCTAGTTTCATGAAGCAGACGTCATAAAACCTCACTTTATAGAACGGGACAAATGAGTTGGATGCAGTCAAGAAGGTGAGGGTCATGCAGGACACTGACACCTGTTGCTGCTTTACCGCAAGCCTTGTAATTGATGTATTTTGCTTCCTAGCCGAACTTAAGTGCCAATCAGTCTTTGCACTTGGATAGGAATCCAATCTACAAGTGTCAGAGGTGTGTTCTCCGTCCAGGGCAGGCATATTGGAATAAAAGAGACAATGGGATAAACCAAATCACTGTCTGAGGGTCTTTATTGTGGAAATGACTGCTAGTCACTAGTCTCGTAGGTTCACCGGCAGATCCCAGCTCCATCAGTGAAGAATCTGATCTTGGGGGTCAGCAGCTGGGGTGGAGCCTAGGCCTCTTGGTAACCCGCATTCCCCAATTCCTAACATGTTAGGAATCCCCTCTAGCCCGGTCAACGACCTGGGAGAGAGAAGGCGCCAACCTACAAATATCTACTAGGCCGGTCTGGAGCTCCGCCCTTGGCATCGCCCTGCCCCGCGCGCCAGGTGCCGGCTGAGCTCTGTGCGCAGTGCAGGCCCAGGCTGCGCGGCTCTCCGCGTGCTCCAATTCAAAAGAGGCGAAAGCCTCGCGGCAGAGACGTCGAGGCTGATTCGAGGGGGTGACGGCGCTCACTGCCCCGACCGGTACACCCCAGGTGTGCTGCCCTCCTGGGACGCCGCGGAGGCTAGAGGAGCCTGCGCTGGATGCCCGATGGCTGCGGAGTCCTGGTTCGCCGGGTCGCTGGCCCTGAGCCCTGGAGAAGCACCGCCTTCGGACGATTTGGTACCCGGGCCGCCACCCTATGGAGACCCCTCGTGGTCGCCCGCCCGCAGACCCGAGGCCTCAGCGGAGCAGGAGCCCCAGCAGGCACAGCAGCTGATGGAAACCCCAGCCTCCGCGACCTCCAGGGAGCCACTGGCAGCGGAGCTCGGACCTGCTCGCCTCCCACTGGACTCCATGTTCAGCCCCATCACTGACCAGCTCCGTTACCTGCTCAGGAAGGCGGATGACTTTCAAAGCTACTTGCTCTACAGGTGACCAAGTGCTGGGGCCAGGTTCCAGGACAGAAGGACAGGCTGTACAGCTCACACCAGGGCCCAGAGATAGTACTCACGGCTAGCTGTACTCTACTAGTGTGCCGAGGGCTGTGGAGAATTGAGAGGCAGGAGCAGGCAATGTGTGGGCTTTTTAGGACACCAAGCGCCAGTCCTTTCACAATTTTGTTTTTGGTTTGTTGGTTGATTTGGCCGATTTTTTTTTTAGATAGTATCTCATCATGTTCGAAATGGCGACCCTCCTGCCTCAGTCTACTGAGTACTGCCTACCAAATTTGAAATGCTCAGATTTTAAAAACAAAACAAAACAAAAAAAACACCCTTATAAGTCAGCTAAACAAAATCTATCTGCATTAACTCTGGCAGAGGCCATACTCCACTCCCAAGGAAAAATCCAATTTCTGGACCAGGGAAAAGGGATTGTCTGTCTGTCGGAGGCTGGCTTAACCCCCAGCTTTCTGAGCCCCATTCGGCAGTTGCGTGCACCCCCAGACACACCGGGGAGGGAACCTAGGCCCTTGTGCTAGGCAAGCCCTGGGCCACAGCGGGGTACTCCTGCCCAGGTGTCCGGCATTTTAACAAATGTCCTAAAGAACGGGTGCAGGTGGTTCTGAAAGGGGAGAAAGACTTGACACCGGGGGATCTTTCTTATGCGAGCGCTGAGACTAGAGCTCCACCTGTGGCAAGGCCCAGTCTTGAACAGAGACAACTTCCCAGTCCCTCTTTTTATGTTTGATTTTGGGTGCGGGGGAGGGGGGGGGATGGAACCAAGGGCTCTGCCCGGGCTAAGCGCGCTGACGCTAAGCTGGCCCTGGGGATACAGGTGGTAAGCATGGGGCACCTGGGGATGGATGGAGAGTGATGCCACGTGAAGGCCCCTTTCTCCCTTCAGCAGGGACCGAGTACAAAAGGAACAGCTAGCCAAGGCCATGCCCACCTTCCTAACGATGTGCGAACCTTACTTCCTGTACCTTGAGGCTGCTGCAAGGAGTGTCCCTCCCATCTACGGAGCCCTGCAGGAGCTGGTCCGGAAGGGGGTGTGTACTTTACCAGGTCCCATTCTCCTTGGGCCCCTGCCTAGGGATGGGAGGGTGGCTTCTGGCCGACCCTCTGAGATTAGGAAGTCTCCCACTTCCCATGCAGTTGCTGGAGATCTCCCAGCAGCTCACCCTGCGTTTGGAACAGTTAGTTCTCATGTATGCTTCCTTCGGATTCGTGGACCTGGAGGAAACCAACCCTTTGAGGTAAGGGGGCAGGGAATGAGTTGTGGGGTGGCAGATTCCAGGGCCCAGCTTGCTGTCCACTCTCTATCTCCTGTTAGCATCTCCTGCTTCTTCTGCGGGAGATTCTCCCTTAGCCCTTCCCACGATGTGTCCATCTTCCGGTACTGCACCCCAGCTGCGTACACTGCCAGTCACTTCCCGAGATACCTCTATAAGAAGATGCGCTGGAACCTGGAAACCACCACAGAGGCCAGTAGCCAAGGACCAGACTCCCATGTGGATTAGTGAGTTTCCTTGTCAGAATCAAAACCCTTCCCCTTCCTATATTGAATGTCAGCTTGAGCCTCTCCAGCGCCACCAGAGAGTGAAAAGCAAGACAGGAAAATGAACACCTTTTGCAGTTGCTGGGTAACACCCAGGACCTTGCATCTGCTAGAACAGCAGTGCACACCTTTAGTTTTTCTTAATTCCACCTTCACCTGATTGGGCCGCCAGGGAGGAAAGTCCTCAGCACATCCCCCACATCCCCACCCGAGAACTTAAGCCAACTTCTAACAGATGAACTTGAACCCTCACCTCCAGAAAGAAAGCCTTCAGCAGAAAAACTGAGGGCACTGCTTTTCCTTCTGATTTCTCTCTCAGCTACTTCTTATGTTATCGAGATACATGGGAGGATGCAGGCCAGGGTCCAGCCAATTCGTGCCCCCAAATCCAGAAACTCTGGTCCATCGGCCGCTGGATGCCCCTAGGACCGGCAGAGGATGACCTTGATTCATGGTAGGATGGCCACGTGGGCTTTGAGGTCGGAGGGAGGGTGGGACAAAACCCCACCAATGACTGTACCTCATTTTACTGTGCCCTGAAAAGTGCTTTATGTAGACGACACAGCAGTTCGTAAAGGTGTGGACCAGTCCATTTTACAATGAAGAAAACGTGTTTTCAGAGTCGATAAGTCACTTTCCCAGGGAGACACAGCTAGGAAAGTGATTAACAGCCTCGAGTCCAGTGCTGCAGCTCAGGAGTTTATCAGCAAAGGACACACCTTACCTTAGGGTATCCCCCACCCCTAACCGAAAGCCCTCAAGTCCAGTCTTGTCTCCGGACCCCCAGGATTTTGTGCCCGCAGCCACCCGGGGACTACCAGCAGTTACTAACCATCGGCTTCGAGGAGCCTTCGCATGTGCTGGCCACCGACCTGCTGGTACAGATCCTCATGGGCCAGGTAGGCCCCGCCCGGCCCCCCAGCGCTGCCGGGCCCTCGGCTTGGGCTGCCCCGGCATCCTGAGCCCCAGGAGAAGACGCCAGCCGGGGCTTGATAACCCCAAACTCCAGGCACGAACAGGGGCGGGCTGCACTGAATACGTCCCGGCATGGGCCACGGAACACCAAGTGCGGACACACTTTTCTGTTAATAAAAGAGCGAGGTCAGAGGTTCTGTCTCCTGTGAACACTGCGTCCCTCCCCTGGGGGCGGGCAGGCCCCGCCCATCGAGGAGCCTTCTGGGAAGTGTAGTCCGAAGACCTCGTCGAGAGCTGCACATGCGCAGATATGTACATGAGTCAAAGAGGGAAGTAGCGGCTCTCGTCAGCAACCGGAACCCAGAAAACAAGTTTCTGGTAGTAGGAAAATTCTAGGCCCTCCTGGAGGAAGACTTAGACCTACGCCGGTTTGGTGGGTTTTTTTTTTTTAACCCGGAAGTGATTTCTAGCCAGGATTTAAAAAAAAAAACTACATTTCCCGATGTGCCCTAGGAAACTGCAGGCGATCAATTTGTAGAGTGGAGTCAGACTTTCTTCCAGCTTTTGGGATGTCCGAGTCGAGCTGATTGTTGTCTTGTCCCGCGAAGAGTGTCTGGAGCCCAGGCTAGGGGAGTCCAAGGGAACTCATCGATCTTGGGCTGGCAAGGAGGCTCTAGCTGAGAGAAATGAACTGTCCTGCTCTTCGGAAGCTCTGTCAGAAGCTGTGTCTTCTGAGCAGAACTGGCCCCTGCTTAGGAATGGGGTCCTTCCTCCTCCCCTGTGTCACCCTGAGAGGTCGATTTTTGGATCCTAAAATTTTCACATTCAAACTGAGAATGTGAGACCCAGAACTATTGAGAGCCAGAACGATGCCTTGTGGTTTTTGTTGAAGTAATTTTTGCCGGGTGGTGGTGGCTCACGCCTTTAATTCCAGCATGAGAGAGGCAGAGGTGGATCTCTGTGAGTTTTATGCCAGTTTGGTCTACAAACTGAATTCCAGGACAGCCATGGCTGTTACATGGAGAAACCCTGTCTCAAAAAACAAGAGTAATTTTTATTAGCCGGGCATGGTAGCACACACCTTTAATCCATAGCACTCAGGGAAACCAAGGCAGGTGGGTCTCTGTGAGTTCTAGGACAGCCTGGTCTACATAGTTCCAGGATGCTTGGGCTATGTAGAGTCAGTCTCTCTCTCTCTCTCTCTCTCTCTCTCTCTCTCTCTCTCTCTCTATATATATATATATATATATATATATATATATTGTATATGAACTTTCCCTGCGTTCCCACAGAGGCCAGAAGAGGGGCATCAGATATGCTAGGACTGGAATGAGAGTCATCAGCTTCTGTGTGGGTGCAGGAAACTGAACAGAAGCCCTCTCAGAAAGCCCCCAGGCCTGGCGGTGGTGGCACACGCCTTTAATCCCAGCACTCGGGAGGCAGAGGCAGGCGGATCTCTGTGAGTTCGAGGCCAGCCTGGTCTACAAGAGCTAGTGCCAGGACAGGGTCCAAAGCTACAGAGAAACCCTGTCTCAAAAAAACTAAAAAAAAAAAAAAAAAAAGCCCCCAGGGCTCTTATTAGCCAAGCCATCTTGCCAGAACCTTTCCTTTTGTATCCAGCTAGAGCCTTTTCTTCCATCCTGGGCCTCCAGAGCGTGCCACCATGCCTTAAGCTTCAGGAAGTCAGCTAACAGTACCTGGTCCGTGCGATTACAAATGCGTTTTAAACAGATGTGACAGATGAGCAGACTCCAGGTAACACACCAAGCCCTGGCTCTTCCAGAGAGGCCTCTGCTAACCACGACACCTGCAGACTGTTTCCCTCCGCAGCTTGAGTCAGAATAACCCCAACACTGCTCTGATTCCTCCTAATATTGATCTGAGCAGCTCCTGTGAAAATCTTTGCCTCCCAGCACACACATGCGAGCTCACAATCATTTGTACCTCCAGCTCCTGGGGAGCCCTATGCCCTATTTTGGTTTCTGCAGGCACTTGGATGATACACAGGCTTACTGCAAGGGAAAACATTCATACACATAAGAAGTATAAATACTGATGTTAGGGTTTGGGGTGTGGTTGAACTTGCATGCACAAGGCTCTTGGTTTGATCTCCAGCACTACAGAAGTAAGAGTCTTGGCTGAGCACAGTGGCGCAGACCTGTGATCCCAGCACTCAGGAGAGGAGCTAGAGGATTGCTGTAAGCTGGAGGCGAGCCTGGTTAACAAAGTGAGACCTTGCTTAATAAGACGGAGCCAGGCGGTGGTGGTGCACACCTTTAATCCTAGCGCTTGGGAGGCAGAGGCGGGCAGATCTCTGTGAGTTCAAGGCCAGCCTGGTCTATGAGAGAAAAAAAAAGACAGGGAGCTGTTTGTCAAGTACTTGTCATACAAGTTCAGTTTGAATCCTGAAATCTACCTATAGGTAGAAAGATAGAACTGACCCCCCAAAAGTTGTCCTCTGATGGCCAGATGGCCACACACATGTAGCAGCATGCCCCCACATCACACACACACACACACACACACACACAATAATAAATATTAATAATATAAATAATAAATAAGCGGGGTATGGGGCACACACCTTTAATTTCAGTACTTGGGAGGCAGAGGCAGGCAGATCTCTGAGTTCTAAGCCAGCCAGGACTACAGAGTGTGGGAGGGAGCACTAGAGACATAGCTCAGCAGGTAGGAGTGCTAGCTGCTCTTCCAGAAGACCAAAGTTCAATTCCCAACACTTGCATTGTGGTTGGCAACCATCTGTCACTCCAGTTCTACAGCATCAGACACTCTCCCCAGGCACCAGACATGCATGAACACACAGATGTACAGACACATGCATACTCACGTGATCTACAGAGTTCCAGGGCAGCCAGGGCTACGCAGAGAAACTCTGACTTGAAAAACCAAAAATTAAAATAAGGTGGATAGCTTCTGAGGAACATCTGTAGTTGGCCTTTCGCCACACACAGATGTGTGCACGCAAATGAACTGTCCCACAGACACTCCACACCCACCAAAGGGTGGCTTGTGCTTGTGATTCCATTTGCCACCCTGGCGGTTCTCTGCTTTCTCGCCATCAGTCGCAAACACAGTCAAGTCTACGGCGACATAGACTCTGGAGGGCCCTTCTCAGGCTGAGCAGCTCCTGGGTGAAACACCACAGGGACCTTTGCCCTGCTTTATTTGCTGGTATTCATTAGTCACTCGCTGTAAGCTGAAGGGCAAGCCTGGTTAACAGAGTAAGATGCAAGGGCCACAACTAACAAATCAGGCATTTAAACCATAATGCTAATATTTATTCGTGTGTCAGTGTGTATGTTGTAGTGGACATTCCATGGCATACGGGATGGGAGTGTCAGTCCTCGTCTTTCACCTTGGGATTTTGTTTTGTTGTGTTTGTTTTTGTTTTGAGACAGGGTTTCCCTGTGTAGCTTTGTTTTTTTGTTTTTGTTTGTTTGTTTGTTTTTTGAGACAGGGTTTCTCTGTGGTTTTGGAGCCTGTCCTGGAACTAGCTCTTGTAGACCAGGCTGGTCTCGAACTCACAGAGATCCGCCTGCCTCTGCCTCCCAAGTGCTGGGATTAAAGGCGTGCGCCACCACCGCCCAGCCTGTCCTAGAACTCCCTCTATAGACCTGGCTGGCCTCAAACTCACAGAGATCTGCCTACCTCTGCCTCCCAAGTGCTGGGATTAAAGGCATGTGCCATCACCGCCCAACTGTTCTTCACCTTATTTTAAACAAGCTGCCATTTCCTACTAAGAGTCTGCAGGACTTTGCATGCACGATGGCTTTTTACTTGGTTTTTGGGGATCTGAGTTCAGATCAACAGACTCGTATGACAAACGTTTTACCCACTGAGACATCTCCTCAGCCCCTTAATTTATTATTCATATATATTTTGAGACAGAGTGTCATATAACCAGACTGGCCTCAAGCTGTCTACGTAGCTGAGGATGACCTTGAACTTCTGATCTGCCTGCCCCTACCTCTGCCATTACATGTACCACTGTTTTTACCAGGCAAGTACCAACCGAGCTGGATCTCTAGCCCTACACAACAGTTCTACAGTGTTCTGAGGTCCCACTTTCCCCAATCCTAGCCACTTCTAAATTACACAGACGCCATTTCTTCAGACAGTTTAGAGTGTTTACCAGCAGTTAAGCAGGGTTCGCAGTGGACCAGCTCCTGTCCACTCCCACTTGCATTTTCCCCCTCCTGCAACTGTCACTCTGTAGACCAGGCTGGCCTTGAACTCAGAGATCTGCCTGCCTCCAACTCCTAAGTGCTGAGTTTAAAGGAAAATGTGCTTCCTTAGCAGTCCCACGTGAATAATTTTAAAAGATTTTTTTTTTTAAAGAACTTGGTATGATGACACAGGCCTACAATCCCAACACTTAGGAAGCAGAAGCAGGAAGATCACACACAGGTTCAAAACCATCCTGGAGCCGGGCGATGGTGGCACACGCCTTTAATCCCAGTACTCGGGAGGCAGCGGCGGGCAAATCTCTGTGAGTTCGAGACCAGCCTGGTCTACAGAGCTAGTTCCAGGACTGGCTCCAAAGCCACAGAGAAACCCTGTCTCAGGAAAAAAAAAAAAAAAAAAAGTCATCCTGATCCACATAGCCAACCAGGGCTACATAGTGAGTCCCTGTCTCAAAAGATTTTTAAAGGGGAAAGAGGTTCCTAAGTAGTAAAAATAAGTAGTTTTGTTTTGGCTCAAACCCAGGGCCTTGTACTTGCTGGGCAAATGCTGAAGATTTGTTTTTGATTGAAGGATTTAAAAAAATTATGTATGTGGCCAGGTGCGGTGGTAAATACACCTCGAATTCCAGCACTCAGGAGGTAGAGGCAGAAGGATCTCTGTGAGTTCAAGGCCAGCCTGGTCTGCATAGTTCTAGGACAGCCAGAATTACATAGAGGAGAGAGCCTGTCTTCAAAAAAGAATTGTGTGTGTGTGTGCATGAGTGTGTGTGCCTGTGTATCCCAGGGCGCCAGAGGAGTCCCAAAGGGGGGCTCAGGTTTTCTGGAGCTGGAGTTACCGGGAATTGTGTGCTACTCAAAATTTTGTTCTGGGAACTAAACCTGGGTCCTCCGCATGAGTAACAAACAGATTTGGGTTTTGTTGTTGTTGTTGTTTCTGTGTGTGTGTGTGTGTGTTTGGTTTTCAAGACAGGATTTCTCTATGTAGTCCTGGCTGTCCTGGAATTCACTATAGACCAGGCTAGCCTCAGAGCTCCACCTGTCTCTGCCTCCCAGGTGCTGGGATTAAAGGTGTGTGTCACCACCACCCGGTAAAAACTCAACTTCAGAGCCAACTCCCCAGTCCTGAATTTTCTCTTTTAGGAACAGTTCCAAGGCTAGAGATAAGCCTCTGTGGTTAAGAGCACTTGCTGTTCTTGCAGAGGACGCAGGTTCAGTTCCCACCACCCGTCTCTAGAAGGTCATGACTGACTGTAACTCCAGTTCTGGGGATCCACCACCTTCTCTGGACTTCAAGGGCATCTGCACGTCTGTATTCACACACATACCCCAACATAAACACACACACACATAACTGAAAAGAAAATAAGTCTTGTGGGTGGAGTGATGGCTCAGCAGTTAAGAGTACTTTGAGAGGACCAGGGTTCATTTCCCAGCACTCAGATGCTGCCTCACAACCATTAATAATTCTAATTCCAAGGAAGCTGATGTCCTCTTCTCGCTTCTGCAGGCACCCCCACACACACACACGCTAGCAAAAACTCTTATACACACAGCATAAATCCAAAAAATAGATCTGTTAAGAACTTTCAAGGTAATCCTTGACCACAGAGAATTTGAGGCCAATATGGGCCATATGAGGGTGGGCAGAATACCCACTAGGCGCTTGGCCCCTCATCACCACCATTGGGACTTTTATTTATTTAAAAAATTATCTTGGGCTGGAGAGATGGCTCAGAGGTTAAGAGCATTGCCTGCTCTTCCAAAGGTCCTGAGTTCAATTCCCAGCAACCACATGGTGGTTCACAACCATCTGTAATGAGGTCTGGTGCCCTCTCCTGGCCTGCATGCATACACACAGACAGAATATTGTATACATAATAAATAAATAAATATTTAAAAAAATTATCTTGCCTGGCAGTTGTGGTCCACACCTTTACCCAGCCCTCGAGAGGCAGAGGCAGGTGGATCTCTGTGAGTTCGAGGCCAGCCTGGTCTACAAGAGCTAGTTCCAGGCCAGGCTCCAAAGCTACAAAGAAACCCTGTCCCAAAAAAACACCAAAAAAAAATTTATCTTTACAGCTGGGCGGTAGCGGCACACCTTTAATCCAAGCACTCGGGAGGCAGAGGCAAGTGGATCTCTAAGATCGAGGCCAATCTGATCTACAGAGTGAGTTCAGGACAGCAAGGGCTACTATGTAAAGAAACTCTGTCTCAAATATATATATAATTTTAATTTATGTGTATATGAGTACGTTTTGTGCGAATATATTCCATGTACGTTCGGGTGCTCCCGAAGGCCGGAAGAGGGGGACAGATCACCTGGAGCTGAAGTCAGAAGCAGTTATGAGCCTCCCATGTGACTGCTGGGAACTGAACTCAGGTCATTTACAAGAGTAGCAAGCACTCTTTACCCTGAACCGTCTCTCCAGCCCACCACTGGCATTTTTCACTATTGCTTATTTTCCTAGAGCAAATACAATTTCATAGCACCTCTTTCTAGCAGCTCCCTGAGCATCCACAGGATGCCTTTGGCGCGGATAAAAGCTGAGATCTGGAGACCCAGAATGGAGTGTATGAGCCGGTGCGCAACATTTTGCACTCGTACCACCAGGGGGCAGTAGGGCCCCGACCTCCAGTCCCGGGTCAGCAGACAGCCGGGAGACCAGAGCGCTTTTCGAATTCCAACATTCCGGAGCGATTCTCTTGGTGGCTTTCCTGAGCTTCCTTCACCCAACCAGCTCTCGCTCCACCCAGACTAAGGAGGTTCCAGTAGAAAAACAGCTTGCAATAAAGCCTAGGAAAGGAGGGGGAGGACACTTTATTTTGTGCTTCACTCACAGGTTTAGCGGGTGGTTGTTAGTTTTCCAGTGAAGACTAAACAATTTTAATGGAGAAAGGTGGTCAATTCCATAGTCAGCATCAAGGATGTGCAGAATTTCAAGTTGCCATTGAAGAGAGCTGGTCCCTTCCTCTCCAGGCCTTGGGCTGATCCGGAGGGTAGCAGCCTCTACCCTGACTCTTTAATGGGGGACGTCGCTTCTGGCCGTGTGTCCCAGCCTTCGCAGACCTCAGGGTCTGCGCTCCTACTAGGGTAGAGGGGAGAGAAAGACCACCACCATTAGGGACAAGAGCTACACCCAGGCATGAGGGGGGGTGAGGCAGTTTGGGCTCCAGGCCCCAGCCCCTCTTCACTTTCAGGGTTACGTCTGGGACTTCGAGTTGGGGCTAGCGTGGCGCTTCAGGGAACCGGGATGCACTTTTGCCTTCCCAGTGCCCAGGCGCTGCAGGGAGGCGTGGGAGAGCGACAAGCTTTGGAAAGTGAGGTTCCTACCTTCTCCAGGCCGTTCTCCGAGGCCGGTCTCCGCGGGGGCCAGATCACCGCCAACTTTCCGTCTCCCCTGCTCGCTGTGGGGGAAGGGACGCTCAGCCGCGGCTGCCCCTCCTCTTGCTAGTTGGAGGATGGCCGCACCCCTTAAACACATACAGGTGTGCACTCCTCCCTCCCTGGGGAGGCCTCCACCCAATTCTGAGGACCCAAGAACAGGAGGGAGGCAAACCTAGCATAGACAGGAGCCTGAAATCTACAGGGGACCCGAAAATGCCAGAAGCAAGCCAAGGTTCCAAGACAATGTATGGTGGATCTGGGGATCCTCACTCCGGGTATGGGAGTGGTGAATAGAAGGCGAACCCCAAGAAGAATAGTTAAGAGTCCCGGGAGTCTGCAAGCCTACAGATGAAGGGTCACTGGAGGTGGAGACAGCGGGAGCTCTGGACCCGGGGTGACCGGCTTACGGGTGAGGCTCGGGGCTGGCTCCTGGACCTCAGCGGCCCCGTAGATACTGCGCCGCTGCAACTGCAGCTCCCGCTCGCGCTCGCGCACCTGGCGCACCTCCTGCTCCAGTAGCGACGGGGAAACCAGCGGCGGCGGCTGCCCCACCAGCGGGCAGCCGTCCTGCACGGTGGGGTGCAGCCGGCCTCCCGCCTCCGGCCGCCGCTGCAAACCCCCGCCGTCCTCCGCTGCAGCCTCAAAGAAGCGCTTGAGTTCGTCCAGCGCCTGTGGCCGCTGCCGGGCGCTGGGCAGCAGAGCTGCCGGGCTCGCCAGCGCCGCCTGCCTGTGAGCCTCGCGTTCGATGTCCCGTTGCATCTTCGCGCCCGCCCGAGCGCGCTCCAGGGCGCGCGGCAGTGGGGGGCCGGGGCCGGGCCGGCTGAGCACCGGTCGCACGCGCAACTCGATGAGTTCCTCGCCCGCACGGCCGGGACTCAGACCCCGGCTCCGGCGCAGGCTCTGCTCGCGCTCGCAGCTACGGCGGATTTCGCGCTGGATGGGCGTCTCCATCAGTAGTTCCGCAGGCGCCGGGTGAGATGCCGGCTTCGGTGGAAAACACACCAGGAGGCCTCCGAGCAGAAAGAGGGGCACTGCCCCAGTACCTCCGTTATCCGAATGCTAGGCGGCCCAGCTACGGAACGTCCGTCCGGGCTTTCTGTGTCCTGCTCAATTGGTACTTGCGGAACTTGGCTCTCTGGCTCCGAGGTCTCCAAGTCCTCCGCTCCAGAGGTTTCCAGGACCTCACCGTTAGCCCTCGGTGCCCTGACTCTGAGGCTCCCGGAGCACGTAGCCCTAAGATTCAGGTGACCCCAGGACTCGGCTCTCGAGCGCCGGGGTCTGGAAGTTCAGAGTTAGGCGCACTTTGAAAATTTCTGTTCTCTGGGTCGGGATTGAGATGCCCAGATAGGTAGGACGCGGTGACCTGCGCAGTACCTGTGGTTGCAGCCGCCGCCCGAGGTTCTAAGGCGTCGCCAGCCCTCTTCTTTGACCCGCCTCTGGCCTCCAGGAACGTCCCCTGGGGGCAGGACTGGGCACCGCCCCCGGCACCTGCCAGCTGGGTTCGAGCGGCCCTGGGCCCGCCCCCAAGGCGGAGGCTCCTCCGCTGGACGCGGGATTCCCGCCACCGGAGTCCAGGGGTTGATTGAAGACAGCTTCTTAGGAAAGGGCTTCCCTGAACTCCCTACTCCGGAGGTAATGACTCGCCTTCTTGTTCTGGGACCACGCTGGTACTTTGGGGTGGGGGGGTCTCATTTTCCATCACTGCCTGGCGACCAGACCTCTAGTCCAGCGCCGCGCTGATCTCCGAGCCACCTTACAGGGTGTTCCCTCGGTCGTCCTTCCCTGACCTCACCAGGCTAGCTCAGTAGGTGCCCCTCGCGGCCAGCGACGCCCCCGTGGCCTCCCGAGATCCTCGCAGCTCCACACAGCTCGGGTCCCGCCCCAGGGCCGCCGGGGGCCGCCGCACTACGAGCTCCTGCTGCCCTGGGCTGCTCAGCTCTGCCAGATTCGCTGCGGGGCTCCTGCCGCTCAACCGCCAGGAGCAGCTTCCCTCCCCTCCCTTCCAGAAAAGCCCGCAAGGCGTTTGCGGCCTAGTGTCCAGCTAGAACGAGCATGCAAGGATTGAGAGCAGAGACAATATAGCGCTTCCTGGCCTCCACCGAGCAACTGCGGCTGGAAAGCGGTCAGCTTGGGGCGGGTTGCTGAGATGGCCCAAACTGGGGCAGGAGCCACCGGGTTAGCGGGGGGGGGGGGGGGGGGGGGGGGGGGGATCTGTGTCTGGGACGATCTGTTGTTGTTCAAGGGCAGGATTGATGCTCCAGTCTGCGGGTCAACCATTCCCAGGGATATTTTCCACTCCATCTGGTGGGATGCCGACTTTCACTAAAACCGGCCCACCCCAGCGTCATTTTATAGTAATCTGGAAAAAAGACAATTACCTAAAGAAAATAGAAAGAGGGGCTGGAGAGATGGCTCAGTGGTTGAGAACACTGGCTGCTCTTCCAGAGGACCCAGGTTCAATTCTCAGTACTCACAGGGCAGCTCACACCTGTCTGTAAAGTTCCAGGGCTTCTGACTCCCTCACACAGACATACATGCAGGCAAAACACCAATGAACATAAAATAAAAATAAATTTCAAAAGAAAATAAAGGAGCCAGGGTAGTGGCTCACTCCTTTAACCCCAGTACTCGCTCAGGAGGTAGAGGCAAGCTGATCTCTATGAGTTGGAGACCAGCCTGTTTTATGTAAACAGTTCCAGGTCACCCAGGGCTACATTGTGAGGTCTTGTTCCAATAAACAAACAAACAGGAAATAGAAGGCTACAAACCCCCAACCACTTGATCACTCCTCGTCTCTCTTCTTACATCTGGCCTCAAATGCTGCCTTCTCTTGGACTGGAGAGATGGCTCCTCCGTTAAAAGGACCAGGATGGTTCCACACTGATCTGACTCCTCCCAGGCACAACACCAATACACATAAAAATAAAAATAAACAATTTTTAAATAATAACAATAAGATCTGAAATAATGACTTGGTTTGTAAAGTGCTGGTGGCCCATGTATAGGACCGGGGAAAGGCAGGAGGATGGGATCCCTGGTGCCAATCTAGTGGGTGAGAGCTAGGCTCAGTGAAGGACCCTGCCTTTGTGTGGAGGCATACACACTTATCACAAATGTACACAAAAGAGACTGGGGACATGACTCACATATAGAGTGCTTGTCTGTAGGTGGAAGGCCGCTCGGTCATTTCCCCGCAGCCTAGACCCGAAATAATCACACAGAAACTATATTAATTGCAATACTGTTTGGACAATAGCTTAGGCATATTTCTAGCTAGCTCTTACATCTTAAATGAACCCATTTCTACTAATCTGTGTACTGTCACGTGGTTGTGACCTACCGACAAGCTTCCATCCAGTGTCCAGCATCTGTGTCCTGCTGCGGCTACATGGCTTCTTCTTGACTCTGCCTACTCTCTCCTCCGCTATCTGCTTGGAATTCCCTCCTTGCCCTATTCTACTAAACCACTGGCCGAAACAGTTTTGTTCATTAACCAATAAAAGCAGCACATATACAGAAGGATTTCCCACACCATTTCCCCTTTTCTGTTTAAATAAAAAGGAAGGTTTCAACTTTAACATAGTAAAATTACATATAACAAAACAGGTACCAAGTAAGAATTACAGTTACAATATTTATATCTACTTTATCATTTATCATAACTAAGGAAAACTATAATTTTAACTGTATTCTTTAACTCCATCAAAGACTTCAAAAGGATATAATATTACCTGAGTAAACAGGAAGTGCATTGTAAGCAACTTCTAAAACTCTAGAATTGACAGAGACATCTCGCTGCCTGGACAGTCACCCAAAGTTCTTCAGTAACATTGAGGCATCCATCTTCAGCCTATAGGCCCATAGTATCTGGCAGACTTTTCCATGAAGCAGGAAATTTCAAAGACAGTTTCGCCCATATTGGCAATTTGTCAGTCACTTTCTTCTGTGTCTTGCAGAATGTCTGGCAGACTCTTTCATGAAGCAGGAACCCCGAAGGATTGTCTCACCTTTAGGCAAGTTTAGCACTCATTTTTCTGTGGGTCCTGCATGTCCAGTTCATACAGCATAACATCAAGCAATCCAGGCAAGAGCATTTCTTGCCCAAATGGCTAGCAAACTCCATAGAAGAGCCTCTTCAATGCCTATCTTTCTCTTGAAGTAGATTGGTGCTGCCAGGAGCAGATGTGCCTCATTGTCATGAAAAGTCCTAAGTTCTTAAAACATTTTAAATGCCATATTCTGTTAATCTTTGAAAGGTTTGAAGAATAACTATCTGACTGAAATATATCTCTATATATCTGGAAAACCTAACATGACTACAAGTTTGACTATTATAAATGACTATCATTAATCTGTATTACTTAATTATATATTACATTTTAAAAAGATTTATTATAAATTAATTAATTAATTTTTCTTTGCTTTCTTTATTTATTATGTTTTCAATATTCTGTCTGTGTGTATGCCTACAGGCCAGAAGAGGGCACCAGACCCCATTACAGATGGTTGTCAGCCACCATGTGGTTGCTGGGAATTGAACTCAGGACCTTTGGAAGAGCAGGCAATGCTCTTAACCTCTGAGCCATCTCTCCAGCCCCTATTTATTTATTTATTTATTATGTATACATTGTTCCTCTTGAATGACTATCTCCATGTCAGAGAAGGGCACCAGATCTCATTACAGATGTTTGTGAGCCACCATGTGGTTGCTGGGAATTGAACTCATGATCTCTGGGAGAGTAGCCAGTGCCCTTAACCTCTGAGCCATCTCTCCAGCCCCATATACTAAATTACAGTTTTTAAATGAGCTGCACAAACACAATACCTTAATCAAGAGTAGAAATATACATATAACAAAATTGACCTTAAATTTGTATCAATAAAACAAGATCCATACCAATGCAAATCTCTACAGCATATTCCCTTTTAAACATAAGTAAACATTTATAAGCAATATTTGGGAATTTGGGCGTAGTTCTCTCCAAACTTCTTCCTGCTTTTTGATGGGTGACGTATTTTATTTTGGGGGGTTCACGGAGACCTTTTAGGGGACCTTGGTCCATCATCCATCCAACTATAATAGTCTGGAAGGAATCTACAGGTTCTCATCCTCGGTGAAAACAAACACAGAACCTCTTTTCCAAAGCAACATATCCTTAGACTCAAATTCTGAAGTCAAGATACCTTTAAAATATATATGTTGGTTTAGCAGCCCATACAATGAAATATCTCTCTGTACTTAGCTCATTCACAGTCAAAAAATTTAAAGAAAACACAATAATATACATAATCCAGACTCTGTGTATATTCCATCTTTGCGTATCTTATTTTTTACTCTTACTTGTTTTACAAGTTTAATATTTATTTTATTATCTTTACTCTTTTTAACCTATGATTGTCTGTACTCTTTTATATTATAATCGTCTATATTCTTTTTTTCTCTTTCTCAAGCCTACATACATTTATCTAACACTGTGACCCATTTATAGGTCTTTTTATCTGAGTTAGTGTTTATTGTGTATCTGAAATCCTTTTCTGACAAGATGCATTTTAAAATAGTAAGCAGTGTGGTCGTGGCAGCCCTGGATGCTGACTCTGCCTCTCTTGTCCTTTTAATATGGTGGAGGTACCTTACCGCCAGCTCTGGCACAGCTGGGTGGGAACCGTGCCCATCACCTCAACTCTAGTAAACAGTTGTCCCATGCTGCCACCGACTAACTTGCAGCATGCTGCCCACAAAACCCATTGAAGTGCTCAGCCTCCTGAAAGAGCCAGAGCTGTTTGTGCATCTAGCATGAATCAGGAAGCCTCTGTTTCTTAAAGAAGCCAAGCGGTTTTGTTGCTGCTGATGCTGAATCAGGAAGACCTCTCTTAAAGAAGCCATGGTGCCCCTACTTGCCACTGCTAGCAAACAGAGCTCATTTGGGGGAATAAATGGGACTACCAAGAAACTGTGCTTGGTTCCCATTTTTGTGGATCTAGAAGCTCCTTTTTTTTTTTAAAGGTCTTATGTGGATCCATGCCCCAGGTGGTGGGCGCCAATCTGAAGGTGGAAGGTTGCTCGTTCCCAGCAGCCCAGACCTGATATAAACACACAGAAACTATATTAATTGCAATACTGTTTGGACAATAGCTTAGGCATATTTCTAACTAGCTCTTACATCTTAAAT